GTCAACAAAAACAGTTCACCACGTTGCTCACAGGAGGAAGCTTCCCGGCAAACATAACAAAAGAGATGAACAGTGGCTTCAAACACTCGCCGGAACTCGTAATCGCCTCATCTCTCAAGGCAAAACAGGCTTTAGAAGATAACGCCACGCGTAATGACAAGCGAAGGCGCCGTCCTCAAGCGCCCACATTACAATCCATCGAGTTCTCACAAAAATGGCACCGAGCGCGCATCGTACCTTTTCGGTGTCTGCAGCCCGAAACCTGCCAAAAACCTGCCAGAAAGCTTCCACGACTGAATTGTCTTTGAAGCATCTGGCAACCCTCGAGCTCCCCGCATGTCGCCAGAACCGTCCAACCCGAGAAAAAACTAACGCCAACCGAAAGTGCGCCGCGGGGGGGACGGAGCAGCCCGAAAAAAATGAGCGCGCTCTGGCTGGCTCTGGCAGCCCTCGGGTCGGCACAAGTAGAAAATTGTAAAGCCCCATTGTTTCCAGAATCTTCACAGAGACTCTTAGACGTTTGGCGTGCTCTCCGACCATATTCTTTAGAACTATGGTCTTCAAATGAGCGAAAGTGTCCTGGGTAGTGTTAGGACAGCATGCCTTCACAGTTGAAATCATTTCAATGTATAGGGAAAAAAACAGCAGCGTTGTGCTTCACAGTCCTCATGTAAAAAAACGTAACTTTTTGAAATTAACCATCATCATCTGTTCTGGATTTATAATTTGCACGTTTTGTTCTGTCTTATTTAAACAGTGGCAGGCAGACGGAGAACCCCACCTGATAAATAATTATTCCCGGTTTTCAAGTATTGTTTTTGTGCCTATTTAAATATATGCGACGTACGTGTACGTGACTATAGAACATTCCTGCGAGCAGTGTGCTTGTTGAATGACAGCAATACTCGTTGATTAGCCAGTAGTTTTATGGGACCATTGAATTGCTACGTTCAAATGTTGGCGCCTTTGTCCCAGCGTAGCAAAAACAATTTTCTTGTCATTAGTAGAGGTCGTGCACGTCTTCGTTTGAAATTATTTGCATTTGCGTAAAATTTTATTGTACCTATTATTTTCATTTTGATCGCCTAAAACATCGTTTTGCCTGCCTGTCTTTGGCGCCTAAAACGCACTTTTTTAGTGCCTAGAAATCCGGCCTCTATATCACACAGTGTCACACGACTAGTACGATTTTTGGCCAGATGGTCGCGAGATCGATTCTGGACCATGGCGCCCATGTTTCGATGAAGGCAAGATCCTGGAGGTCCGTGGACCTATATTTAGGTGCACGTTAAAGAACACCGAATGACCAAAATTTTCAAAGCTCTCCACTACGGCGCCTTATTGATCGTATCATGGTCGCAGGACATAAAACCTCAGTTATTGTTATAAGTGGCAAAGAGACAGAGAGAGAGAAGTAGGGAAAGATCATGGAAAGACAGGGAGGTTAACCTGTGCTTGGGAAAGGGGCAAAAGAGGTTTAAATGAGTCAAAAGGGAAGAGAAGGAGTTGGTGACAGTGGAAAAGATGCGACTGGAGCACTATCCGAGCTCTATAGGAAGTTACACTGTCCGCGGACAGTGTTGCTTGCAGGAACCGCATGCAACAACGCCTTCAAAGCATCTCGTGATGCAGACCGAGTAGGCCAGGGCTCCAGGATTTTGTGCTCTGTCGGGGGGCGGTTGTCTAGTTGTTCAGGTAGGCGGACAGGGTCGCTCTTTCGCAGTTGATATGGGTGCAGCCACGGAGAAGGTGCGTGACTGTTTCACTGCATCCGCATATTTAACACAATGGGCTGTCAGACATTCCAATAAGAAACAAATATGCATTCGATAACGCCACTCCAAAGCCACAAACGGGCCAGCAAGGTAGTGCCATGTCATGGTAGGCTGAGTGGGAGACGTAGCTGCTGGCCAGGGATCAAAGTACGCAGCCGTGCATTGTAAAAGTTGAAAAATGCCATAAGTCTAATGGAATTCTTTTGCTGCGTCGGATCTTGAAAGGGGAATGGCGACACGGCTGACACCGTCATGGGCGGATCGGGCCGCTGCGTCCGCTTGGCCATTGCCCTGAATGCCACAATGGTTAGGCAGCCACTAGAACATCAATTCGTGCCCCTTTTTAAATATTGCATGGTGCACTTGCCTGGTTTTCGCTATGAGCTGTTCAGGAAAGCCATGAAGTAAAGCGGGCGGTAGGCTTTGGAGGGCTTTGCTATCGCAAACGATGACACCCTCAATTATTACAGCGGTGGTTGAGCTTGTCGCCATGACTGAGTGGCAGTACAGTACAAGACACTGTACATGTGCGTAAAACGCCACTTTTGTCCTTCGAAAACAAGATTCTCCTCGATGGTTCGGCCTTATTTTCCCAGTAATCCAGTTATTTTTATTTGGCCACTGCCTTCACTTCATATTTCGAAGTGTGCAACGTGCCTGTCGATGTGAAATGAACTGGCGTTGCAAAATAAGGACAAACCGCCGCCGAGGAGTTGAATTGATACTGAAGGGAAATAAACAATCAGTTCAGAAAGTTAAATTATATTCTAGACCCTTGTTGCTTCCTACTTTTTCATAAACAGGTTGGTTACTAAAAGAGAAGATGAAGTTGTAGGTGTCATCTATGAATTTCGCATTGAATATATAGCGGTAAAACGCTGTGGTGACGGCATAAATGTGAACGCTTTTCTTCTGTATGTTTTGGCTACATAAAACAAATAAACTTTCTAGAAATGTGCCATGTTAAGCTAGGGGCTGACTGTACGAAGTAGTGCTATTAATTTTCACTAATGAATAAGCCTGCGGTGCGAAGCTGACGACGTGCGAGTCTGCTGACGTCATAGCGAGTTGGTTCGGAAAACTGAAGGTGGCATCGCCACCTGTATGCCCTTTTTAAGATCTTTTCGCCTTAGTTTTCTTTTGAAGGAAGCCAGATACTCTCTCAGGAGAGTTTTTATTTTGCTAGCACGTGCGGCTTTTTCCAACAAGAAGGCCCCACAAAAGGGCCGCCCTATAATAGTCCACAAACGTGCGCTAATACGTCACTTCATCCTCCGACTAAAGTGGCCCCGGCGTAGCACTTGATACTTCACATTCCAGCTGCGGAATTCCGCCTGATTTTACGTCGCATTTTCGCGCTCGGTCGACCAAGCAACGAAGCTGTGACAGTCACGACATTCGCGACAGCTTCGTTGTGTAACCGTGGCGGTGGTACGCGCGCCTTTTCCATCAGCCATTCCTTCACGATTGGAATTGTGGACAGCGCCAGGCACAACGCTCTTGTGGCTGCGAGCAGACCGTAAAGGGCTGTTTTATGTGAACGCCCTTGCTTTTACGATCGAGAGCTTGCCCTTCGTGACGTCTACCGTCGCCGACACGAAAAGCCATTCCAGCGGAGCGGCTTCTCGAAACCGTGGTTTCGTACTTCGGGTTAGTCGGCAGAGCAGCGTTGCTTCCCTTACAAAAATCCTATATATGGAATTACTCTGTCCGATAAGTATCTGCGATTCCTTTTGGTGTTGCAACCAGCATACCATGGGTGCATGTCAACGTCGTAGCCATATTGTATCGTCAGTATATTTCCCTCATTAGCCTCATTTTCATCTTCTCTTACATGTAACTTATCTTACAGTGCACAAGGTGTACTCCCTACTCTCAGTTCGACATCAGTCACTTGCCCGGGTGTTAAGCTTCGGTGCGAACTTCCAACAACTATATCTTTCTTTTGTAGATATTTCTATGCATGAGAGGTTGGTTATACTGCAGGAAGAGCTACACAGCATCAGTTTAATTAAAGCAGTACGCAAAAATTATAAACAAAGAACAGTCCGGAAGAGGGGAGATCCTCAAGGGAAAAAATCTGAATTACTACAAAAAGTTGATCTAACCTTCGGGTGAATAAGCTACTGATTATAAGCCACACAGATGTACGAAAAGGATAGGCTTATGTTAAACCTGCGGTGATGCGATTGGAATGTGATCGCAGGAACCTGGCTATGAAATTGGAGTGCGCAAGTGCATAGACAATCGAGCGGTACACTGTTATTGTAAAATTGTTAATGAAGCGGCCTTGGCCGCTTCATTATTGTTTAGTCGTATTCGACACCTTCCAGTGCATCGTCAATGACGCAATACCCTGCACTATTACAAGGTAGATACTGTCGTGCTTTGAAATTCTTATGTTCATCAGTCGACGGCAATCATCGTACTGCCGACTGTGGTTTACTCTACATACGTTTAGCGTGCGTCGCCTGCAGTGAACGCTAACGGTCGAACATGCTGGATTTGGGGAAAAAAAAGAAGGAGATAGAGGTCACTGATACTACAACGCAAGTGTGAAACAAAGAGAACGAATTCTCTGAACCTAATGCAGACATCTCCTATTGCAGTTTGCAAACGCCGTCAGACCACATCCTTTCCGTAGTAGCGCGCAAGTTACGGGATGCACGACCTGGAAACCTCACACCGCTGTTGATCAAACTGTGCCCGCTTAGAACACTACACCGGGCGTGTTTGCTGTAAGCTTTCACACGGAAGTGCGTCAGCCAGGGCCACCGCAGGCCGTAACGGCTCGCCCTTCGGTCCATAGTTTACGCGACGGCGCCCTGGCTGAAACGGACCGTCGGCATAGCTCTGCCCTGGTGTGCTCGTTTCGTATGACGTGCGCGAAGCATTCGTATGACGTGCGCGAGACAACATTTGCGCCCGGCGGATTCGCCGTCGCTAACGTGCTGACTTGGCAGAAACAGGCGCTTTACCGTTTCTTACATTCGAAGTGCTCTTAGGTCGCCAGGCTTCGAGTACTGAGGAGTTTTTGGTTCCCGTTTTAGTTCGTCGTGCATCTCGAACTGAAGCATTGCGCAAGAGAATGAGAACGACCCATCATTCATGTTTATAGTTGCTTCGCCCTAAGAAGCAAAACTCTCGCGCGAGTTGTCACGTATGCGCTTGCTCAGCAAAAAGTGCCTGAGATGATATTCCTCGTCTTCGTGCTCCTTCTTCCAGCCATCCTGTTTGCCCCGGAGGCGCCACCTTCTTCCATCCCTGCGGACCGTTTGAATCCTCAGCCGAAGAGGGTGAAATGTCGTAAGTGTCATGGATTCTGTATATAATAGGCCTCATGTTTGATGAAATTATTGCGTGTTTTGCCTACTGTCGTGATTATGGCATTTGTTATTTAGGCATCTGCAAATGCTGATCATCTAAAGATAAAAGGTTATAGACGCGTCGTGAAAGTGTTTATTTTCTTTTCAGATTGTTAAGTGTCCATGCAACAAATTTTTTCCCAGAGCCATAAATAAACCAACTAAACACTCGTGACAAGTGCTCTCATTTGCTAGATTGGGGAATATGGTCGCATGCAATGCAGGTGCCTTACTGATGCTTTTCTAAAGTTGGTTTTCTTTGAAAAACACAGGTTGGGCCAAATTATTTCCTTGTGTATAAATATGTTAGGCATTGAATGTTTTCTCGGGTAAATAGGCGGTCACTTGTCATGTGTACAATATGCAATGGTAACAAAGAAAAAAAAACTAAAGCATGTTATTGCTATCAATATTTCATGTCGTTTAAGAAGTTCCCACAGGGTACTGAGCTGCGCGCAAAGGTGTTACCAATCAGATCTCTGTTATAAACAGCTGGTCAGTTTGATGACGTACTGTGGCGAAAATTTATGACAGTGATTAACCGAATGAGCTAGTGCTTGTAGAGTTTCCGGAGCATGAGCCTATATGACGTAATTCTTCATTATATTAATGCTACAGCTTGATCAATAAAAAATGTCTAAGCAACTCAAGACACTTTTTATATATCTTATGGTACCCACTACATGCTTACTTAGAATGTTGCCCTTAGACATCGCTTGTAAAAGTTCTTTCAGCTATGCTCTTCGTTACGACTCTTCATTAGGTCTCTTTCAACAAAACGCGTTAAGAAACGTCGGTTATCTTTCCTTTATCTTGGTTAAATATCATCTTTCATGTCGAAAAACCGAGCGTAGGTATCTTCTAAGCATGTCTTTAACAGTCAACATACCGAATCACGCGCATGAACATAATGTAGGAGCTTATTCTCAATTATGTAACTGGTTGTGCGTTTATTAGCAGGAGTATACTATAATGTCCCGCAACATAAGTAATCGAGGGTACAACATCAAGTTGGCATTCTTTAAAGTGAGCCCTTCATTGTTGATCACATCAGGCACATGTTATTGTAAAATAGTTTAATCTTGTTAGAATGATGCAGATTTATATTTACGGTTTTTGAAATTTTGTTAGTGTGTAGGCGGTACCATCATTAAGTCATTGGTACGAAATCTTAAGCAACGCACCGTGTTCAAAGGCAGTTGTGGGCAAATTAGAGTCACACCCTTCTTCTCGCCACTGCTTTGCCTCCTCAATTCATCAATAACGAAGACGTTGATGACGACCGCAGCGCCCACAGGTTGAGCTGCGTCAGGTGCAGTTGCAGCGCGTGCGGCGATGTCCGGCGTGCGCCATCAGATAAGAGAGGCGTAGCGTGCGTTGTAGAGCAAAGGTGCTCAGTCAGTTGGCGTCTAAATACCACTTGGTCTTATCAGATGGTCTTACCAAGAGTAGTTATAAACAGAGGTTTATAACTACTGTTGAAGAGGTCAGACTAAAAGGGGATGAGGCAATCGAATATATAAAAACAATGATGATAGAAAATTTAAACACCAAAAAAGCGCTGCATGCACCGTACCAGATAAGGCTGGACCAATTATCTCAGTGGCTCCACTGGGACAGCGAGAGTGGGAAATGACAGAAAAAAAGAGTTTCTAATAGCACATCAACAGGCCCTGACCGCATCCCATGTAATAAAGAAACTAGGACCAAACACTAAGCAAACATTAATAGAGGCAGCGAGCAAAGCAATCATGGGTGGTCAAGGTCACAATGGGTGGAAACTAAGCAGGATGAGCATGATCTATAAAGACAGGGGGACAGAGGCGATGTAAACAACTACCGTCCTATAACAGTGACATCAGTAGTTTAGAGGCTGGTGATACAGATAGTAAAGGAAAGACTACAGACATGGGTGGACAATGAGGGGGTGCTGGGATAACTACAAAATGGGTTCCGTAAACGAAGGAGGTTGGAGGACAATCTGTTGTCATTGATGCAGTGTAGTGAAGTAGCGGAAAAATAACACAGGCCCCTGTGGCTGGCGTTTCTAGATATCAAGAGAGCTGACGATAGTGTGATCCAAAAAGACTTGTGGGGAATACTGGAAACACTAGATGGGGAAGATGAAATAACTAATCTTCTAAAGGATATCTATAAAAGTAATTAGGTAGTTATCAAATGGGAAGAACAGGTATCCGAACCTATAGAGATACAACGTAGTCTTCGACAGGGATGTCTCTTGTCACCTTTGTTATTTATGCTGTATCTCCAGGTACTAGAAGCCAAATTAGAGGGGAGTCAACTTGGATTCAGCCTCTTTTTTATCAAGCAAGGAAAACACATTGAACAGGCATTAGCAGCATCGATGTATGCAGATGATGTAGTATTTATAGCCAACAACAAGGAAGATCTGCAGGGATTGACTGACATCTGTGGTAATGAGGGAGATAGGTTAAAATTGAAGTTCAGCAGGGAAAAATTGGCAATCATGATTTTTGATGATAACAAAGGCAGTTAGCATAAGATACAGGAAGTAACGCTAGAAATCGTGGATAAATACAAATACTTGGGCGTATGGATAAATCACGGCGCTGAGTATCTAAGGCAGCACGAAAGATACGTAATGACTAAGGGCATCAGGAATTCAGCTGTAATGAAAAATAGTGCATTGCAGAACTACAATAGGTATGACGTTGTGAGAGGGATTTGGAAAGGTGTCATGGTCCCGGGTTTGATGTTCGGCAATGCGGTATTGTGCATGAAATCAGAAGTCCAAGCGAGATTGGAAATCAAACAACGTGGCATAGGTAGACATGCTTTGGGAGCATACGGGAATACCCCAAATAAGGGGTTATAGGAAGACATCTGATGAACATCGTTTGAGTGCAGGGAAGCTGGCAGCAAGGTATAATTTGAGGACCGATTGAGAAAAATGAGAGAGGAGCGTTGGGCTAGGAAAGTTTTCGGTTACTTGTACATGAAGACGGTCGATACTAAACGTAGGAAAAGAACTCGAAAATTGTCAAGCAAGTATTTAGACAACAGCAGAATACTAAGCCAAAAGGAAACATCGGTTAAGAATAAGGTGAAGGAAACAGAGAGGGACATGTGGAAAATGGGAATGCTTACGAAATCATCACTGAAGACCTACCAACCTTTTAAGCAGGAAATTACAAGGAAAAAGATCTACGATAATTCTCGCGGTAGTTCTCTGCTCTGCGAGGCTAGGACGGGAGTATTGCGGACCAAGACGTACCGAGCCAAATACGAAGGCACAGACACGGTATGCAGTGCATGTGGAAAGGAGGAGGATACGGCTGAACATTTGATAATGTTCTGTAAAGGGCTCCACCTTATATTCGAAGATAATGGCGCGGAATTTTTCAAAGCATTGGGGTTTAGGAATAGTGAAGGCAAAATAAACTTTAAACGGGTAGAAATAATCAGAAGGAGGCTAACTGATTGGTGGCTACAATCAAGGCGTGAGTGAAATTCAGTCCTTAAACACACAGTGAAAGTACTTAAGTTTTTGGCTAGGTGGGGTGAGCCACCGACCAATCATAAGGGCACAGCCGGATACATCCATCCATCCACCCGTCATTTTATTCTTGTATTTGGTGACAATGCGCGCCTCTCCGCGGTGGTCTAGTGGCTAAGGTACTCGGCTGCTGACCAGCAAGTCGCGGGTTCGATTCCCGGCTGCGGCGGCTGCATTTCCGATGGAGGCGGAAATGTTGTAGGCCCGTGTACTCAGATTTGGGTGCACGTTAAAGAACCCCAGGTGGTCGAAATTTCCGGAGCCCTCCACTACGGCGTCTCTCATAATCAAATGGTGGTTTTGGGACGTTAAACCCTACAAATCAATCAAATCATGGTGACAATGCGCGTAGACATACGCGCAAAAAAAAGTGTTTGATAACGATCGTTGTTAAGCGTACTCAGGCAATGTGGTTGTGTCTTCATGACTGAAGTTAAGCCGTATACGCGAGGACCGTTGCGTTGATCGGGTGGCGTAAGCCTGACGCTTACTCTAGCGATGAGCTGAAGCGACTCTGCTCACCAGGGCCCTTACAAGCCTTGATCAATTTCGCGGCTTTACAAGCCATAAGTCGTGTGACTTACGGCCTACAATTAAGCAGAGGCAATTCGTGGTGTCTGATCAAAGAAACATCGAGGGAAACACTGTCGCATAGCTCCCTTCAACACAGACAGGCAAATGACTGTCGCTGCCCACCTGAGGCTCCGTGAAGCGAACAGGACATAACCAATCAGATTGGTCGCCGGTGCTATGTAGCATATAACAATGCATACGTAGAAAGGGTGTGGGAAATCGAGAACTCGTTTGGCTGAGCCGCTGCGATCTGTAGCGACTCACATGCTAAATACTTCTAATAAATTATACAGTTGACGCACAGAGCCTACTTAAGTCGGTTTGTAAATAATTCTTGGGACTCGCTTTATTGAGCCAATGCGCTCTGTACAAAATCGTCGAAACCATTTCACTGTCCTTTTAAACAGCTCATCCCTCTAAACTTTCTATTGGTCTTCGCGTAGGGGTCCTTTTGAGCAGCTTAATTGCGTGATTTTACTGAAGCTTATCAGTGGCATGTCCAATACGGCGCATCCCCTCCAGTTCGTGTACTTCTTGTAGCCCAACGTACCCAATTCAAGACAAATTATGCATCTGCATCTAGAAAGTGTGCGAAAAAAATAGCTTTCGCAGACATGCTTCGTTATGGTATTAAAATTTATTGTCATTAGTATAACAAATTGCCCCATTATTGACGTTTGTTGTTTTTACTGCATTAGTGCTTATGTTCTTACTGTGATTACTTCATTACTTTATGTTTATTACTGTCGCTATGGTATTACTATAATTGGTGATTATATGCTTACTATGATATGATTATGTCCTTGTTGATTCAGAATTTTCAAAGTTGACTTGTGTTCAAACCCGTTGCTTCTGCTGCCCCAGTGTGGTAGGGCCTGCTCAGGAGGTTTGGATCCTCATTTTTGTTTACCCTGCGGGCAAACCATGTATACGTGTTATGCCAAAAAAAGTATAAATATTGTTTTTGTAATACAAACATTCCTTGCACGCTATTGGAAATAAAAAAGAGTGAATCCCAAGAAAAAAACATGTGTTTAGAGTACGTCTTTTCTGATAGAGTTTGCGACTTACAGGATATCTTGTTTGCATATTTGATCGACATGTTAGACGCCGCAAAAAAAAAAAAAACAACAAGATTGTTGCTTGCTGTCATGGCATCCGACAGCTCCTACAGTACTATTTCCATACATGGTAGTTAGAAAGAAGTTACTTTATTCATTTATTCATAATACCTCAAAGGTCCACATGGGAAATTATATGAGGGGTGGGCGGATGAAAAAACTGACGGGTCAGGTTAGGTTTCATCACTTGAAAGATGGTCTTCAATGGCAGCTTTTAATTGAGCAATGTCGGTGATGAGGGCGATATTGGATGGAAGGGCATTTCATTCTCCGGCAGTAAGCAGGAAAACTGAACGTTGGTAGGTGGCCGTATGTGCACGTGGTATATACACAGCATTTTGGTGCGAGTGGCGAGAGGAACGATGTGCAGGAATGATGATTGGGCTTCCTGGAGGCAGCGAATGGAAAAACCTAAAAAATAATATTATTCGAGCAGTCTTGCGGCGAGAAGAAAGTGAGGGGAGGCAGAGCTGGGATTTTAGGGCGGATAGACTAGACCTGTAAGAATAATCGGAAAGAATGAACCTGGCTGCGCGGTTACGGACCGATTCTAGGGAGTTGATTATATTAACTTGGTGATTGTCATAAATAGCAGAGGCATATTCTAGTTTGGATCGAATCAACGTTTTATATGCAAGTATATAGTTTGACTGCAGGAGATGCTGATGATAGGTTACGGCGTAGATAACTTAATAGGCGATTGCAGGAATTAGTTAGTTGGAGAATATGATGGGCCCAGTTGGCTGATGAACTGGTGATAATAATCATGAGCTGGTGATAAACAGAAAGTTGGCTCATGAACTGTTGATAATCACTGTCGACGAAAGGGTTTCGCAAAGCTGATAGAATAATACATATGCTGTTTAAGTTCACTTACCCATTGTTTTCATGCAGTCACTGGTGGCCTAATTGGGCACAACCTTATCATTTCAACTCAGTTTTAAACCGCGACGTCCAAGAAAGCAATACTGATTACTGCCCTTTCAGGCTAATGCTCAAGCATTTTGGTGTTATGCTGTTGTGCTTTCACAGCATTTCCGCAGTAATACGCAAGTTCTTTGGTTTCTGCACGCACCTGTGTGGAAGCGCTTTATTATCTTGGAGAACAGCGAAGAGCTTTCTTGCGAGAGCAAGATGAGTACCCAATAAAGGGACGCTATCTTCTAGCTTTGAATTGTTCCGTCGTGAAACATTTCTGTACTGCAGATTCAAGTGCCGTGGCGGCACGCTTGGTTTTAACATTCTAGACTGTGCCAGCGTTGTATCTCTAGATTTAGGCTGGCCTGCACATTCAGCCGGCAATAAACTGCATCGCTCCTCACAGCACGTAACGTATACCTGTTTGACATCGGCATTAGCAGTCCCGCAATGTGAATTGAATGTGAAAGTTCGGGAATTACAGATCTTCAGGCCGACAGAGAACACCCGCTGAAAACATGCTTAGCTCTGAAATCGCTGTTTCACGTTGCTGGCTCTCTCGTGCAGTCTACTTCAAGACTTGGCCGCTGCGCACCTACTGCCACGTTCTTGGCCTGACGGGTGTCATCACGGCACAAGTGGCCGACGAAGAGTGTCGGGCCATATCAATGGACATCATCAGCTTGAATACCACACCCATGCATCGACTGTGCACTCTGATGAAGCACTTCGGTCTGGAGGAGCGCAAACTGTGGCTTGCTGACGTGTAAGTATACATACCGTAGAATCCTGTGGGCATTTGTGAATGAATTTTAGACATGCACTAGAACGTTTGAAGCACGAGGAATTATTATTACAAGAGTGGAATTGTAGGCTAGTTAATGTGTAGTCACACCGACAAATTCATTCCCAGTGCGCGAACATAGGAAAAATGGACAAAAAGCACTCTTTCTGTGTACTCTGTCCTTTTTTCCCATGCTCGCGTGCTGGAAAAAACTGCCAGTATGACTTTTTTTGAGGCCAGGAGAAGTTCGCTACAGGGCTCGCCACCGGAGGCCCTTTGCCAAGGGCACGTTTCACGTAAACTAAGAGAAACTTTCTCTACAGCATACTTCTGAGCCTCGATAGTGTGTCTCGTTTTGCTGTATTGCGAAGATAAGTTATTCGTACTTTACATTTCTTTCATTATCTATGCACTGTGCATTATAGGAAATTTCCTGCTTCTTCCGCCAACGTGTATACAGCAGTGGCTGCGTCAGCCACAAGTGGCGCTTACTACGGATCTCGCAATGTGTGCTCTTCCACGAATAAATTAGAGATATGCTCTTTCGTGTGGCAAGACGCCATACTTTATGGACACACAGAAGCTCCTGTTTAATGCTTCTCACATTTCGTTTCACTCCTACCGCTGAAATACAGCGATCCGTTGGGTTAAGCGTGTATAATACTGTGTTCAAAACCGATTTGCGAAAGCGTTAGACGTGTCCGGGGGGAGTACGAGGAATGTGGCATAGCCGTGGCCTTATTCCCGTGCCACCTTTGTTTTTTTTTCTTTTTACCATGGAAAGAGAGAAGAGAGAAAAAAAAGGGGGGGGGGCTTTTCGGCTTCTCCTTTTAGAGTTGAACGTGACAGCAATATTCTGTTACTAGTGCGTACTTCAAACACTTGGTGTTTGAAATCTTTAAGAACTTACTACGGACCCAATACTTGGACTTAAGGGTGCAGTAACGTGTGTGCCTTCTGTAGAGGGTGACTGGCTTTAAACTATGAAGTTGTTATGGTAACCCCATGTTCTGTCGCCCGAGGTCAATGCACGCTTGTACTATACGCATTATCACGGAAATATTTTATGTTGCATTCTGAAGCATGTATACAGGATGCGTGTGATTGTAAAACATCAAAGTTACTTTCGCTGGATTTGCAAGCAGCGGAAGTTATTTTCGCTATGTTCACAAGCAGAGGCGTGGCTGTGTGGTAGAACCCCCGCTTTCTACGCAAACGACTCCGGTTGTGACCCCCTTCAGACCCAGATATTTTACTACCTGTTTTACTTGCATCTTCGTTGGCCTTTTTGGTCGCGCAAGCATTCTCGACTTTTGGATCACGCAAAGATGGCGATTTTTTGCTCACAATCAAGGACACTGACGCTGACGCCGGAAGTACTGCGAAACGAGCTTTTTAACGTGGTCGCGCTAAAGAAGGAAGGTAGGGAGGCTAACGTATTGCGAAAATCTGGTATGCTATCCTTGCACTGGGGTTGGGGAATAGGGGACGATAAAGAGGTGGATAGATAGATGGATGAAAAACTTTTATTTGGGTCCTGAAGGATTCCACCCCCGTTTTATAGGGGTAAGATCGCGGGCAAAAAAAGAGAGAGGTAAAAAATAATAACAAAAACACCAACGCACGCACACACAAAAACAATTCACTCAGAGCTGTTCAGACAGGCCAGTAGTTCGCAAGACGCCCCGCCCCCTATAGCACCTGCACGGCCTTCTAGTATTCTTTCCTCTGAGAGAGGTTGGTCATCTATAGCTTGTTGAATGGCCTGCCACGGCGGTTTAGTGGCTAAGGCACTCGGTTGCTGACCCGCAGGTCCCGGGATCGAATCGTGGCCGTGACGATCGCGTTTTCGATGCAGGCAAAAATGTTTGGGGGGCAGTGGGCTTAGATTTAGGTGCACGTTAAAGACCCCTATAGGTGACAACCATTTCCGGAGTGCCACTTTAAGCATCTCTTATAATCATATCGTGGTTTTTGAGCGCCAAACCCCCCACAGAAATATTACAACTTTTTCACTGTATTAGGAAGAGATGGCCTTCGTATTATGTATTCCCGTCAGTGTCACAGAACGTGTCAAATTGTCTCTTCATCGCCACTGCATACGCAGGTGGGGGTGTCGGTCATCCCTATGCAGAATGCTTACGCACAGGGGAACACTGCGCCCAACTATACTCTGAACAGAACAGTAGGAAACTTTCTTTCAAAAAATTAGGCCTTGCCTTCCCCTCCTTCTCTATCCCGCCATGAAAAAAAATGAAAACATTCTGGCTACGTGCCTGGTCTGTACAATACCGAGTGCTGCATTTTCCACCCGTGTAGTAGCCCTAACACACGACTAAAGGTATACACGCATGAGTGGTGTTATAGTTGTCATTTATATCCACGTCATGAACTTTATAGTGCTCACTTGCAATGCTTAGAAATGTCGATATCTGTGATCACCTGTAAATCTATTCGAGACATCTATAATAGTTTCATGCCCCGCCGCGGGGGTCTAGTGGCTAAGGTACTCGGCTGCTGACCCGCAGGGCGCGGGTTCGAATCCCGGCTGCGGCGGCTGCATTTCCGATGGAGGCAGAAATGTTGTAGGCCCGTGTGCTCAGATTTGGGTGCACGTTAAAGAACCCCAGGTGGTCTAAATTTCCGGAGCCCTCCACTACGGCGTCTCTCATAATCATATAGTGATTTTGGGACGTTAAACCCCACATATCAATCAATCAATAGTTTCATAACACTAATGAATATTGCCAGTAAGCAGCCCTCGTAGTCAGTCATCGTTATAACCATTTATAACGACACCAATTAATTTTTCTTGGAGGGATGTGGGATTAAATGGAATATTCATATTTGAACGTGTTTCACCTTTTCGCCGCACACCGAGACACCTCGGCGCTGACACTACTCCGGGTGCCATGTATCGCACCTCGTTTTAATATAGCGGTGTCCTTGTTGTAACGGAAGCATGGAAACTGTCGGTATTAACTTTGTGAAAGAGTCAAGACAACGCCTCCGAGTCAAGGACACCACCAAATAGTAATAAAAGAGGACTTAGTAAAATAAATCCTTCTCTGAATTATTCCGATGTCGCTGCGATGAAATCCTACCCGTCCGATTCGATATGCCTTACTTGGACGATTACTTGAAAGGGGAACAGGCTTTTCCATAGGCATAAAATGAAGTAGTCATACCGGTAAGGAAATCGGTATATTAGAAACAGGTAGTCTGAATTGGCGCTATTCTCTATGTGAACGTTTTCTAACTGCGAAATTTTGTCTCCTCGGGATCGTCGCCGTGGCTGTAAAAACTCAATATAACAGCTTAAGGGATAAAGAAAAAAAAAACAGTTCAGCCGGATGTGAACGCTGCCAACTCTCTGAATAATATATGCATCAAATATACACCCTATGTGATCTTTGATCGATCTGAATAACAGGGCGCACGCTTTGTGGCTGACCTTCGTAGCTCACGTTCAGAAAACTGTGTTTCAATATCTTACTTATTTTTTTGAAAAAAATTTACAATATTTCGCAAGCACTGCTATTGGGTGAGTTGGCGCATCATATTATTGCGTTGGTTTGGCGCAGGCTCTGCCTGAACGTGAAGCAAAAGAGACATAAGCAAGGACGGAAAGAGAGAGGTGACAGGATCTTGCTGCGCACTTTATTTTGCCAGGTGGTGTGCTGGAGGAGCAATGTATCTTCTTGCGAACAATGCGATGTCGTGTTGTCCTTAAATTAGATATGACCGCCAGTAGTCAGCTTTTAGTAGTTTTTTTTTAACTCGTAGAGCTATTTACGTCCCAGTGAGCTAGCCTAAAGAACATCCCAAAGACGTAGTAACATCACTGCAGCTGCTCTGCTCAACTTCTGAATTTTTTTGCAGATATTGAGAAGAAAAAAAGTTCAGCTCAGACCGACAAGCTACTTCAACATTGCTGCATAAGAAAAGTGCGTTTACTGCGGTTCATGGTGTTGAGCTGTATTGCTTCACACTGTTACTACATTTTGACCTTAACATGGTTTTCGGACCAGACGCACTGCTTTCTTGTTCCCATGCAGAACGTACCAACAGACTTCACTGTTCTACAGAAGCTGCGACAACCATGATATATTAAACAAGCTTGTTTAGATGAAAGGCGAAGGCTTGATTATACCGGCCACGACGGTTGCATTCGCCACGACGATTGCAATGCGAGTACGCTGTACTTCGATTTTTGTGTGCGATAAACAAACCTTGGAGAATTGAAGTAAATCCAAGGTGTCCCCCCCCCCTTCCCACCTTCGGTATGCTTCACGATCTTAGCGTGGGTTCGCACGTAAAATCCCAGCATTGTCATTATTGTTATTATTATTATTATTATTTTATATTATTATTATTATTATTATTATTATTATTATTATTATTATTATTATTATTATTATTATTATTATTATTATTATTATTATTATTATTATTATTATTATCAGTAGTAGTAGTAGTAGTTATTGTTGTTCTTGTTGTACATCTCCTTTGGTGAAACGTTGTTTGTAGTGCTTGACCTATTGTCGTACTTCCTTTTTTTATTTTTCTTTCTAGGTTGGATCGTTCTGATACTCTGACGTGGGATGAGTGCAACATTGAAGTACTGGCCGCAAATGTAACAAAGCCGCCTTCGAACTGCACCATCTGCAATATCGCCGTTGTTTGCGATGGTAAGTCTATACTTGCCCTTCCAGTTTATGTGAACTGGCAGTGCAGCTGCTCAGAAGTGCGTTCAAAAGCTTTAATATATATTGTCGCCAAATTCGGGCAGCCTTACTGTCTGAATATCGCAGTAGATGACTTCGCATTTCTGTTTAGATAACCAAGTTTCTGCTCGGATACATATACTTGCAAAAGTACATTTAAAATATCGCTTAACAAATTAGTAAAGTAACGTTCTAAAACGTTACTTCTGGCACCATGTAACGTTCTAAAAACCCACTTCTGACACCATGTATTTGAGGCGAATGCGACCAAACGAAAGACTTTTATTGAGGTAATGCTTGTGCATATAAAGAGGCACCAAAGCTGATACGCATGTGCAGCTGCAGTTGCACATGCCATGCTCGATACAGTAAGCATGGGTTCTTCCTAATGAATGCTTTGCTGCTAAAATAAAAAAAAATTATCAGGGCGCACAAATTGTAACCGGAATATCGCCAGTCCACGGAGATGATTGTTTTACGAGGGAGGTCAACCTGCAAACCAGTGGTTCGCGGAGGAAGTCCATGCTAATTACCGATCTCTGTAACTATTATTATTGAGCTAGGATCACGTTTTCAGTATTCATGTATTACGAGTTATGCCTTTATGACAGCGTCACGAACTATCCCGCTCAAGTCACGGGATCGAATCCCGACTGCGGCGGCGTCATTATCGATGGAGGCGAAAGCGCTGTAGGCTCGTGTGTTCAAATTTGAATGCACGGTAAAGAGCCCCACGTGGTCGAAATTTACGAAGCCCTCCACTACAGCGTCGTGCATAATCATATGATGATTTTGGGACGTTAAACACCACATATATATCTACTATCCCGCTCAGCATGAGCCACGTTATGAGCTACAACATGGAAGCGCGTTACTTGCAGCGTACTACAACATTTTACAGTGGCACCTATTGTGGCATATTTTCGACTTTTGGGGAGAAAATTTGGCTGTCCCTGCGAGCGCGCAGGGACAGCTGACAGCTGGACTCGTAGCTGTAATTTTCTAAGTTGATATCAGCGCAGACAAAAACGAAAGTGTAGGTTACGCGTACTGGCAGAAACAGCCGAACCCTCCCCTGATAACACGAAAACCTGCAATGATAGGCAGCTCTCTACAACCTTACCATGCGTTTGGCCATGCAGTAGCTTGCTCTCATTCATACTGAGCGTGATAGCACGTTCTTTATTCCATATGCGATTTAAATAACTCAACTCATGCTTTAACAATTGAATAGCCAAATTTGTCGTCGCCAACGACAAACTTCGCTCTGGTCCCTCTGAACTCCTGTAGGAATCGCTTTTTCCGTGGCACTGGCGAGCACGAATACATACATACATACATACATACATACGTACGTACGTACGTACGTACATACATACATACGTACATACATACATACATACGTACGTACGTACGTACATACATACATACATACATACATACATACATACATACATACACACACACACACAGTAGCGTGAGGGAAGGTGCATGCACAAGACTTGACGCGATTGATTGATATGTGGGGTTTAACGTCCCAAAACCACTATATCATTATGAGAGACGCCGTAGTGGAGGGCTCCGGAAATTTAGACCACCTGGGGTTCTTTAACGTGCACCCAAATCTGAGCACACGGGCCTACAACATTTCCGCCTCCATCGGAAATGCAGCCGCCGCAGCCGGGATTCGAACCCGCGCCCTGCGGGTCAGCAGCCGAGTACCTTAGCCACTAGACCACCGCGGCGGGGCCACAAGACTTGACGCGCTGGCCGAAGTTTTGCATTCCGATTCTGTTACTTTGCGCGCGTGCGATCATATCTGCTCTCCAAAAGTTGACGACGTCATCACCTTTTTTTTTTCTTTGCAGCTGGGTTCTACCACTCGAATGGATCGAACTGCAGTAAGTTGACAGCTGGTATATAGGAAATATTCTTGGGAGCAAGGAAACTCTCAAAACGCTTATTCAAGATTATTTATATATATTTCATAATTGCTTCTCACTTACTACCATACCTATTTGTTATTGCAAAAAAGTTCCAGATGTTAAAATACTCGCGTGGCACGTTTATGAGTAAATTTGTTGGTGACATTTCTCTTAGCAGCATTGTGGTCTCTATAGATAAATGTTTACCAAATAACCAACCTATGTCGCAGCATACCTCATGTTCGTTTTACTGATACGATCACCTGAAAAGTGAGAACACTACTACACTTTACTTCCCTTCTTCAGCTAAACCAATTTACGACACATGACAGCAGTTTGTCACCAGTTTGTGGGGAAAGACTGCATTTCGGGGACTGTTGGATGCTGCAAGCGCTGTTATGCTTTTCTGTGCCGTTATCTAGTGACGTCTCCCTGTCTCTCACGCTCTTCTATTCCTCTACCCAGTGTAAGGTGTCATACCGGTTATTCTGAGTTGTTTGAACTTCTTGCTGTCTTTAACGACTCTCAAGTGTACGTCCCAGTTTTTTTTTTTTGCAGTTTGAAACAATGCACAAAGTATGCCATAATGTGTGTAAGAATGAACCTCTGTCGACACAAGTCAATGATGTATTGTGAAGCCTCTTCTTTTCTTTATCGTTTTCTTACTGCAGTTGTCATGGAACACGGCAATGAGGAGGTCGAATACTGTTATCACGATGATAAGCTCAGCGCACTCGAGAGTCGTCAGAGCTGCCTGAGCCAGCCATCGCCGTTCTCGATGCTTATGGATGGACGGCTGCTGAACGACTCGCAGGTGGACTACATAAGGCAACTGGTGCGCACCGACTTGAAGTTTTGGGTAGATCTCAAACAGGAAGACGTGGGGTAAGTGATCCGGCTCCCACGCCCAGCTGCTTATGTGGGATTTGATCATTAGTTTCACAGGCGAATGGGGTATCTTTAATTAACGCGACGGGTTTGGTAAAAAAAAAAGTGGCCCCGTATCTGCATGGTAATCTGCAAATGTCGTCGAAAGACGATAGTCTTCCGCGTGGAGAGAGTGAACAAAATGTTTATTTGATGTTCTGCGCAAGAAAATCGGTGAATGGTATTCTGGAGGCGCTGCGTTAGAGTTCCTCGAGCGTGCAGCGGAGGCGAACGAACGCATCAAGTCACGTCACACGTGAGACATGAGCGCCATCTGGCAGTTTTCTTCAAAACAAAGCGCGTGGCTCTGAGACGGGTGTGCGCGCCCGTCTCAGAGGTGATAAGGTGTACAACGCAAGGTGACGGGTAGATGCCACCACCGTCTCGTTTTAGCAAAGCGTTGGAAACACTCTCTTGTTCGTTCAAGCGTTGCATGGTCAGCACACCGTGACAAACGCTACTTCCTTAAAATTACTTATGTATGCCTTTTCTATAAAAAACGCGCATGTAGAATATATACATGTTTATATGGTGCCCCAGACATGCGCAATAATTGCTTTTTAATCGACAATTGCACAAGTATGAACGCTAAACCTTGAGCAACATTGGTGGGCACTGCGGATGGGGTCGGCCGTTTCAAATACCCGATGCTAATAGGAGTGGACAAACAGACAAATGTACAGACAGACAGACAGACAGACAGACAGACAGACAGGCAGGCAGACAGACAGACAGACAGAGCAAAATTTTTGCGTCGAAGGTCTCCAAGAAAGACTTTCGTCTTTAAAAAACTCCCAAGCATTTTCCCGAGGATGAACATGGTTAAGTGCGAATACACGGGGTGATGCTATGAGGGGTATTTATTAATTCGCACTATTATATTTATTATTCACACTATGGTGCCTTTATGGTGTAATGGTTCCTGGGAATCGCAATTTGATCACACGGGGGAGTTTACGTTAACTCACTGGCGAATGCCAACGGATTTTAACTTTACTCCCCCTCACGACCCGCTCTCGACGGGAGACAGAGAGAAGGCGGGCGCGCGAGAGAGAGGGGTGCGCGCGCAGCTGCAGCGAGCGAGGAGAGCGGAGGAGCGAGTGAAGGGGGAGGGGGTATAAGGCGCGTTACTGACACCGATATCAGCGTCGCGTCCGTGGCTTATTCGGTAGAGCGTCGCGCTGCGGCCCGCCAAGTCCTCTTTCTTTTAAAGATAGAGAGAAGACTGCGGACGCCGCCGACGGCGGTGGATGGTTTGGGGTCGCTTATAAAGTGTATTCACACTTAAAAATGTGGTAGCTAGGTCTACGAGGCTTAAACGTCCTATAGTAACAACACGACTATCATAGCCACGAGCAGCTTGCGTGTTTGTGATCTAGCCCTAACTTTGCGTTCTCCATTTCTTCCTCAACTGATTGATTTTTCCCCATTCATTTTTAAGGGCGAAGCTCCTTAAGGTGTGGGTCGTGCGCCCCGTCGTAAGGGTGGGTAGCCACCTCTCGTTAGGTCTTGAATCGGTCGTTAGAAGGCGGTACTTGTACATATAACGAACGCATATAGGTTGAAAATACAAGATACTAGATGGCGTTACTTGTAGTATGTATGATACGCGCAAGGCGGCGGCGGCTCGCACTTGATGATAGAACCCCGGTGTGCGAGCGCGCGAAAAAATAGGAATAACGTCACACGAAGACGTTGGCAATTGCGTGGTCGTCGGCGGCACCGTATGCTAGGGGCCGCGATGTAGTAAAATAAAAGTCGTTTGGGCACGCGCGCGCGTTCAGAAAGTCAGCGGATGGACAAGGCTGCAGAGCGGCATGCGCGCAAGGTGGCAGAGTCCCCACTCTTAACCATTCACCCCGTAGATATGCCGTCATTTTTTTATTTCTTTAAAGACCCACGAGGGTATATCACACGAGAAATAGGCTAATATGCAATCAGCATGGTTGTCACAATGACCAATGCCTTGTTAATTTTGCTATGCTGTGCATGATAGTAAGTAGACAGGTGATTCTGGCAACGTAGCTGTAATTTCGCTGCTCTCGGAGGAAACAAGACGCAAAGAAATGTCGTAGTTTGGTCACGTGGGCGCAAAACATTGCCCCATCTCCAGTTTTCATTTTTTTAGCATGTCCAGGTGCAAGGATCACGTAAGGAGAGCGATTAAAAATTCACTAAAGGGAAAGTATGACTTGCTTTATATTGACAATGAAAAACTGCACTCTGAGAACGCTAATGCAATATGTTTCACTGTCATAAGATCATTATTATCGGGAAAAAAATAAACGTTCAAGTTTCGCTTTTAAATATCGCCCCGAAATCTTGCGCTTGACGTCAATATGTTTAAAATATATTTTTCATATTTTCGCGACATGTATTCGCGACATAATTTCGCACGATGAAATTTTCTGATACTTCGTATGCTCGGTCTATAAATGGTGCCCACAGATGACCATGTGCTTTAAAGTTATCGATAAAAAGCTACGTAGGACCCTGTAGACGCCTTCAAAATCTATGACGTCATGGTGTTTGGTGTGGGAGTCTCAAGGCGACGTTTCCACCCACACTCTCTTTTCACGCGTTTGCACGCTTACCAAGACTCGTGTCGCCGTAGGAGGGATGTTTTCTGAATTATGAAATTGTAGCTTTTCAATACGGAAAAGATTTTTTGCCCTTAAGCGTCCCTTTAAGTGGTGAGTGAAAAACCATAAAGTATCCTTCACCTTGAGTCGTGCACCTCAGGATCTACAATAAAGCTTCGTGTCCATCCATCCTTCGCGACAACATCTTCGCGGTGCTCCTGGTGCTCATTTGGCGGGAATGGGCCATCGCCGCAAGCTTCACACGACTCACATAACGCCTTACAGACGTGCAGCGGGTAACTCGCTTCTCCGCGAATCAATCAATAATGGCATAATAGGCACTTCCCTACCTTGCCAAATTTCGATGGTTTAAGGCGAAGCGGGCACCTTGCCACTGTACATGCAGTAGTTGCCCCCAAACAAGTTACCTCCTGCTTTTAGTATTGCCGTGCCGTGTGCTCCGCGCAGGCCCAGAGGGATATTTTCTTGAAACTTTTATATGGGTGGTTGCGTTCTTTAGCAGTGCATGCTTTGCCTTGTGGATGTACAGGCATCAGCAAAAGCTTCCTTGGTCGCATTTCTTTGGCCAGTTTGGCAGGCTGCAAATGGTTGGATGATTTAGTCAATGGTGTCACATCACGGAGGTGGCCACAGCGCAGAGCGTATGGTCACTGGGTAAACACAAGTACGCATAAATGTATATAGGTGTCGGATTCGTACCGTAAAAGCATTTTTTTTTTATTCTGGTCCTCTGGGGTCGAGGGCCACTGTTCCAATCACTTGGCCGCAGGCGTATCTCTCGCTAGACAGTGCGGAACGCCCTTTTTAATGTCCGACATACAAGTATGTGCCTTCAAACGCTTGAATTTTTTTGTTGCACAACGCTGGTTGTTTCCTGAAAAGCTGTCCTTTACGTGAACCAGTGCATTAACACGCTTAGCGCATTTTCGCAATGCTGATGAAGTGTCATCGAGTCGGAAGTGTGACTATTCGCAGCGGTAGTGATAATCGAAAACAGCGAATTTATTCCCTAACTCTTTTTTTTTTCGAAGCCTTAAGCTCCAAGCTTACCAGTTCGTACAAGCTAAGGGAAAATTGCTTTTTTTTTTCAAGTGGTGTTTCCAGCTTTCTTTCGTGTGTGCTGCGATTTGTCGGAAATGCAATGTTAAACGGTCCTTTACTTATCCATTAAGGCGAATCAAAGGGGACAGTCGTCTTTCTCTTTTGTGTCAGTCACCTTGTGGCTTTATTATGACGTCACGACGATTCCATACAATGTCATGACTACTACGACGCACGATGACGCCATTACACGACATTGGTGCTGGTTCAATCGTGGCTGATCCCGAAGAAACTTCAGTGAACCATGGCCTCATCGCCGAAGCTTTATACACCTTACGTGGTTTCGAAGTGCCTCCGAAATCGGCCCACACTCGAGCAAGTGCCACTGGCATGTGATGGCATCATCATGTGTCGTAGTATGCACGACATTGCATCATATTGTCGTGACGTCACTATAACGCCACCAATTTCGGTGATTTGTGGACTCAGTATGACTGCAATATTTACACCGTTCATCACGTCATGCGACGATTGGTACGTAGACGGCACAAGTAGATTCACTTGACTATCACGTGACTTTTGGCCGACTTATATTCGTTTTTTTTTTCATCAAGATCCTTAAAATAGTTTCAAGTCTTGCCACTACTCGCAATGCCTCTTGACAGTTGACACATTTAATGCTTTAGGTTTAACAATAAACTTCAGATCATGCACTTCAAAATGTTTTTTTTTTACATACTACAGTCAGCTGAGTGGCGTGGTTGCCTTCGACGCCTACGCCATTGACTGGAACACGTCCTGCTTCACGGTGTGGTTTGGCCGCGACGTACCATGGTTCTTCAAGAGCAGCTGCGATGAAATCATGTCAAGGCCGACTCTCTTCCTTCACACGTAAGGGGGCCATTTTCGGCATTCAGTGCGACCTTTCATACCGAAGCCCTTACAGTGTTATAAGTGCATGAAGATGGGCCACGTGAAAAGCGTATGCGAAAATAGGACGGTGTGTCCTCGTTGCGCGGAAGCCCATTCTGCGGATGACTGCGAAGCAACTACCCTCAAATGCTCGAATTGTCATGAGTCACATGAAGCTTCGTCAAAAGAATGCCCCAAAATCCGAAGAGAAATAGCGGTATTGAAACAAATGGTCAGAGACAATTCGTCGCATCGAGAGGCTGCCAGGACCGTCCGAAAGAGGCGTCACCGTCGCCGCAGTTCATCAAAGAATGCCGCAGACGCTGCATCGAAAGCACCACTCCACCACCCTTCTCTTCCACCGCCCTTGCCTCCCAGACCGAAGGCGGCCAGCGCGGTCAACAAACCAACGAGCAGCACTGTTGCAGATGAATCAGTTTGGCCTTGATTGCCGAAATCACAGCCACCTGCAAATCCCAAGCGCACATCGACAGTCACATCACTCCAGCCAGCCACTTACAAGCTGCCTGAGGAGGACACAGAAGTCATCAGAATGTTCCGAACACTGCTGGATGCCATGCGAAAGCTGTGCAGCAGCCTGAAGTCTCCACTCGCTCAGAGTGCACTACAAGTACTGGATGCTCTAAGTCCAGTATTTGCAAGTCTTCAGTAGCAACCATGGCTCGACCAATTTTCTCCTTCCGCAACGAGGTCCGACAAGCGTCGATAATGCAGTGGAACGCGAGAGGCCTGAGATCCCGCATCTCTTCGTTCCGTCAGTATATATTTATGAATCGTATTCCTATGATAGTTATATGTGAACCAAACGTGCAACAACCTCCTAAACTATCAGGGTATGAATCTTTTGTTTCTTCAACGTGCGAGGAAAGCAGCAAGGTGGTTGTTTACATTCGCACAGATTTTACATATGCGCATCATGCAGTTCAACCGCATGATGACAATCAATATGTCTGCTTACGTGTTAAAAAGGAAAAAGTGTCATTCACACTCATTGGTGTCTACATATCACCATCCGGACGATTTGAACAAGACCGACTACGAGACATACTGACAACAACTACGGGCCCGTGGGTTATAACTGGAGACATCAACGCACATCACTTAATCTGGGGTAGTTCGACAATCAACGCTAAAGGAAGAAACCTCGTGTCATTCGCTTCCAAGCATGACCTATGTTTCTTAAATGATGGCAGTCCTACATACCTGCGGGGCCTTACGTACAGCAGTTGCCTTGATTTGACTCTGGTATCCAGAAACTTCCGGTCGCAAGTGCACTGGTTTTCAGACATCGAAACGCATGGGAGTGACCACATTCCAACTTATATGCGAATAAGGGGTCTTACTAACTCCTTTCCTAAGACCACAATACGAAGAATTGATTGGTCCAAGTTTCAGCGACTCATGGAAAATACATGCCGTGAAGACCCTGGCCAGAACTTGGAGGATGTCATCAAAGAGGCAATGAGGGAAGCTTCCTGTCTCCTCCCGTTCAACGGCAAGCGTTCAGATTTCGACGTCGAACTGGAAAAACTGCGCGCGCTTCGCCGAAGGGCGGAAAGAAGATACAGGCGGACGAAAGCAATATGCGACTTGAGGCTGGCACGACGCATACAGAAAAAAGTCAACGTTTAGACAAACTTGAACATGAACGCTGGAAATCATTCTGCGAATCATTGGATCCCCGAAAGCCGTTGTCACGCATCTGGAGCACTATTCGTGGCCTGCGCTCGACTCCCCAACAAAGACATTCTTTCATGGCTTTAGCCCTACATTCAGGCCACACCCAACTTGAAGTGGCAAATGAGTTTTGTACGCCAATCGCTGGTGTGTCCGCCTTGTCTGCTGGCACCATTAGGAGTGTTATCCCTAAACCCCGCATCTACGAAATGGACAATCTTTTCACTATAGAAGAACTTGACGCCTCTTTGGCGGCTTCCCGACGATCATCTTCACCAGGACCCGATGGCATCACCTACGCCGCTCTAGCCAACCTTCAACAGGAGGCAAGGGAACAGTTGATAAGCTATTACAACCACTCATGGCTGGCGGGCAATGTTCCCCAGGATTGGAAGATAAGTCGACTTGTGCCACTACTCAAAGCAGGAAAGTCATCATTTGATTTGACATCATTTCGCCCTGTTGCCCTCGCAAGTTGCGTAGGAAAAGTCATGGAAAGGATGATACTTACACGCCTAGAATGGTACCTTGAGCGCTACAACGTATACCCAAACTGCATGACGGGTTTTCGGCGAGGTAGGTCATCTCTCGACAACGTGATTGATCTCACAACATTTATCCAGCAACAGAAGAGCCTCAAGCGCATACCACTGGCACTCTTCCTCGACGTCAAAGGGGCTAATGATAACGTAACACATAAAGCCATCCTAGACTCGTTGGAAGCTGTTGGAATCGGTGGTCGGATGTTCCAATGAATCCAGGATTATTTGACGAGAAGGTCCTTTTTTGTACAAACCTCAGATGGACCTACCACCAATTACTATACCTTCCGTGGCGTCCCTCAGGGCGCCGTATTAAGTCCCACTCTATTTAACCTCGTGATGGTAGGACTTCGTGAAATTTTGCCAAGTACCATCCTCATATCCATATATGCTGACGATATTTGTCTATGGACTTCGGCTGTAACTCGTCTACAAGTACGTGCAAGAGTCCAGCAGGCTGCCACCTTGACATGCTCATATTTCTGCAAGCAAGGTCTTTCCGTCTCAACGGAGAAATGTGCATTGGTTGCATTTACCCGCAGAGCCATGACACAATACCCCGTTACCATCAATGGACAAAATATTCCATACCAGAAGAACCATCGCTTCCTGGGTGTGATTATTGACAGGGACCTTTCGTGGAGTGCCCACTGCAATTACCTGAAGAGAAGGCTAACTTCCATTGTCCATATAATGCGGTTCCTCTGCGGAAAATCTTGGGGCGCGTCGATAAGGTCAATGATGCAGCTATACAGAGCACTGTTTCTGGGATTTTTGCGCTACAGCTTGCCGTTACTGGCAAGTACGTGCAAGACGAACACCCGCACTCTCGAAAGTCTGCAAGGACAAGCACTACGCGTGTGCTTAGGATTGCCGCGATGCGCCTCAACCTACGGGGCAATTATAATCGCAAGAGAGCATCCAATTCGAACATACATCACCACTGACAATTTGAGAGCCCACATAAGACACCTCTGCCGAGTTCCTGGTCACCATGTTGCAGTGTTGCCACTTCAAAGACCACACGCGATCTTTTCAAAGATTATTTCTGCCCATAGAGAAAGCCTCCCTTTTGGCTTCACTCCCGCAACAAGACCAGCGTCACCCCCATGGTGCCTACAACAACCACAGGTGTGCCTCACTATTCCGGGAATAACAAACAAGAGCCATCATTCAACAGTGGTCCTACGACAGGTGACATTGTCGCTACTCAACGAAAAATACGGCCAGAGGACCCACATTTACACCGATGGATCGGTCTCGGCTGACAGCTCCACAGGTGCTGTTGTCATCCCGGCGTACCAGGTCACTATAAAGCTCAAACTGTCGCATAGGACAACATCCACAGCAGCGGAGCTTGCCGCTTTACGTACTGCTATACTTTATATCGCGGAAGCCCGACCTCAAAAATGGGTTGTGTTCTGTGACTCCAAGGCATCCCTTCAGAGCTTGCAATCAGCTTTACGACAGAGGGAGCATCAACAACTAGTGAATGAAATAAGAGAAGTGATTCACGAAGTTTTATTGAAAGGACATGACTTGGTGTTCCAGTGGTTACCGGGACATTGTGGTATTGTTGGTAATGACCTTGCTGATAATGCTGCCCGATCCACCCACGCGGACGCCCAGACAACCCCAATTCCACTGTCGAGAACCGACGCTGCAAGGGGCCTTCACTCGTTCGCTAACACCGCCGACGGCGGTGGATGGTTTGGGGTCGCTTATAAAGTGTATTCACACTTAAAAATGTGGTAGCTAGGTCTACGAGGCTTAAACGTCCTATAGTAACAACACGACTATCATAGCCACGAGCAGCTTGCGTGTTTGTGATCTAGCCCTAACTTTGCGTTCTCCATTTCTTCCTCAACTGATTGATTTTTCCCCATTCATTTTTAAGGGCGAAGCTCCTTAAGGTGTGGGTCGTGCGCCCCGTCGTAAGGGTGGGTAGCCACCTCTCGTTAGGTCTTGAATCGGTCGTTAGAAGGCGGTACTTGTACATATAACGAACGCATATAGGTTGAAAATACAAGATACTAGATGGCGTTACTTGTAGTATGTATGATACGCGCAAGGCGGCGGCGGCTCGCACTTGATGATAGAACCCCGGTGTGCGAGCGCGCGAAAAAATAGGAATAACGTCACACGAAGACGTTGGCAATTGCGTGGTCGTCGGCGGCACCGTATGCTAGGGGCCGCGATGTAGTAAAATAAAGTCGTTTGGGCACGCGCGCGCGTTCAGAAAGTCAGCGGTATGGACAAGGCTGCAGAGCGGCATGCGCGCAAGGTGGCAGAGTCCCCACTCTTAACCATTCACCCCGTAGATATGCCGTCATTTTTTTATTCTTTAAAGACCCACGAGGGTATATCACACGAGAAATAGGCTAATATGCAATCAGCATGGTTGTCACAATGACCAATGCCTTGTAATTTTGCTATGCTGTGCATGATAGTAAGTAGACAGGTGATTCTGGCAACGTAGCTGTAATTTCGCTGCTCTCGGAGGAAACAAGACGCAAAGAAATGTCGTAGTTTGGTCACGTGGGCGCAAAACATTGCCCCATCTCCAGTTTTCATTTTTTTAGCATGTCCAGGTGCAAGGATCACGTAAGGAGAGCGATTAAAATTCACTAAAGGGAAAGTATGACTTGCTTTATATTGACAATGAAAAACTGCACTCTGAGAACGCTAATGCAATATGTTTCACTGTCATAAGATCATTATTATCGGGAAAAAAATAAACGTTCAAGTTTCGCTTTTAAATATCGCCCCGAAATCTTGCGCTTGACGTCAATATGTTTAAAATATATTTTTCATATTTTCGCGACATGTATTCGCGACATCATTTCGCACGATGAAATTTTCTGATACTTCGTATGCTCGGTCTATAAATGGTGCCCACAGATGACCATGTGCTTTAAGTTATCGATAAAAAGCTACGTAGGACCCTGTAGACGCCTTCAAAATCTATGACGTCATGGTGTTTGGTGTGGGAGTCTCAAGGCGACGTTTCCACCCACACTCTCTTTTCACGCGTTTGCACGCTTACCAAGACTCGTGTCGCCGTAGGAGGGATGTTTTCTGAATTATGAAATTGTAGCTTTTCAATACGGAAAAGATTTTTTGCCCTTAAGCGTCCCTTTAAGTGGTGAGTGAAAAACCATAAAGTATCCTTCACCTTGAGTCGTGCACCTCAGGATCTACAATAAAGCTTCGTGTCCATCCATCCTTCGCGACAACATCTTCGCGGTGCTCCTGGTGCTCATTTGGCGGGAATGGGCCATCGCCGCAAGCTTCACACGACTCACATAACGCCTTACAGACGTGCAGCGGGTAACTCGCTTCTCCGCGAATCAATCAATAATGGCATAATAGGCACTTCCCTACCTTGCCAAATTTCGATGGTTTAAGGCGAAGCGGGCACCTTGCCACTGTACATGCAGTAGTTGCCCCCAAACAAGTTACCTCCTGCTTTAGTATTGCCGTGCCGTGAGCTCCGCGCAGGTCAGGGGGACATTTTCTTGAAACTTTCATATGGGTGGTTGCGTTCTTTAGCAGTGCGTGCTTTGCCTTGTGGATGTACAAGCATCAGCAAAAGCTTCCTAGGTCGCATTTCTTTGGCCAGTTTGGCAGGCTGCAAATGGTTGGATGATTTAGTCAATGGTGTCACATCACAGAGGTGGCCACAGCGCAGAGCGTATGGTCACTGGGTAAACACAAGTACGCATAAATGTATATAGGTGTCGAATTCATACCGTAAAAGCATTTTTTTTATTCTGGTCCTCTGGGGTCGAGGGCCACTGTTCCAATCACTTAGCCGCAGGCGTATCTCTCGCAAGACAGTGCGGAACGCCCTTTTTAATATCCGACATACAAGTATGTGCCTTCAAACGCTTGAATTTTTTTTGCACAACGCTGGTTGTTTCCTGAAAAACTTTCTTTACGTGAACCAGTGCATTAACACGCTTAGCGCATTTTCGCAATGCTGATGAAGTGTCATCGAGTCGGAAGTGGCAGCGGTAGTGATAATTGAAAACAGTGAATTTCTGCCCTAACTCTTTTTTTTTTCGAAGCCTTAAGCTCCAAGCTTGCCAGTTCGTACAAGCTAAGGGAAAATTGCTTTTTTTTTTCAAGTGGTGTTTCAAGCTTTCTTTCGTGTGTGCCGCGATTTGTCGGAAATGCAATGTTAAACGGTCCTTTGCTTATTCATTAAGGCGAATCAATGGGGACAGTCATCTTTGTCTTTTGTGTAAGTCACCTTGTGACTTTATTGTGACGTCACGACGATTTCATCCAATGTCATGATTACTAAGACGCACGATGACGCAATTACACGACATTGGTGCTTGCTCAATCGTGGCTGATCCCGAAGAAAGTTCAGTGAACCATGGCCTCATCACCGAAGCTTTTTACACCTTACGTTGTTTCAAAGTGCCTCCAGGATCGTCCCACACTCGAGCAAGTGCCACTGGCGTGTGATGGCATCATCATGTGTCGTAGTATGCACGACATTGCATGATATCGTCGTGACGTCTCTATAACGCCACAAATTTCGGCGATTTGTGAACTCGGTATGACTGCAATATTTACACCGTTCATCACGTCATGTGACGATTGGTACGTGGACGGCACACGTAGATTCACTTGACTATCACGCGACTTTTGGCTGACTTATATTCGTTTTTTTTTTCATCAAGATCCTTAAAATAGTTTCAAGTCTTGCCACTACTCGCAATGCCTCTTGACAGTTGACACATTTAATGCTTTAGGTTAACAATAAACTTCAGATCATGCACTTCAAAATGTTTTTTTTTTACCTACTACAGTCAGCTGAGTGGCGTGGTTGCCTTCGACGCCTACGCCATTGACTGGAACACGTCCTGCTTCACGGTGTGGTTTGGCCGCGACGTACCATGGTTCTTCAAGAGCAGCTGCGATGAGCTATATCCAGTAGTCTGCGAGGACAGCACAAAGAGAGGACGTAAGACCTTCGCTGAAATAGCGCACGCATAAATATTGAACGTGTATGAGGCAAGACTTCATAATAACCTTCCGCTCATGTCTTTCAGGTGGAATGAACTACCAGTTCACTGACTGCAGTGAGTACATGTTTATTCTTATTTTCGTTATAACATAAATTCCCGTGAATACGCCGCAGAAGTTGCCACGTGCATTACGAGGTTGATGAATAGTTTAGGCATCGCCCAGTCATCCTTTAAAAAATGAGCTCAGGTGCGACAAGTAATCATTTCGAAGTTCAAGCTTTAAGCCACCTGCAAAAAGGAGAAAAACTAGTGGCACATTCTTCGAACCTAAAGGGTCTGTGCAACATTTTTTCGTATAGGCGTGGTATGGATTCACCAAAAGATCTTATTGCACCACAAGAATTTTTAGAATTCGTTGAGTACGAGGGGAGCTAAAAATATTTGCCGCACTCTGCAATCGCTTTCTCTCTTCTGTCGTCGTGACGAAATCAGTGTAAGCTGAGCAAAGAGGGAGGAGGCATGGGGGGTGGGGGACACGTAACGCATGCCTCGCTAGCTTGGGCACTTTTTTTTTCCTTTATTGCCTGCAGCGCTTTTCAGTATGATCGCGCACCTGTGCATGAACAGGTCGTGACCTCCTGCGGCCTCCTAGTAACGATCGAGTACGCCACGCTCTGATCAGCCAATGGCCGGTATTAGGTTTGGCACGTAGTGATTTTGAGCCTACGGCGTCATTTGTCGAGAGAAGAGAAAGCGATTTTTAGCCGACTTCGATAATTTATGGGAATTTCCAGGCCACATGCTGCGCTTTAAATTTGTCATACCTGTTTTGGGGAGCTTAAGTACCGAGTGGCAGCGCATTCAGATCATGCTCAAAACGTGTTGCAGGTCCCTCTTTATTGATAAAAAAAGGAAAATGTTGCTGAATACTTGGGCATCGCATGGCAGCGCATACAAACGACTGTATTCATAATCTTCATTTTAACGAGGAAACATTTGTTGTGTTTGGCTCCTGCCTTATCTTTAGGTACCTTGATCTAATATTGGGCTTGTCGGCTCAATTTCTATACCATGTACGTGTTTTGAATACACCGATGACGATTTGTATATTTCTTAATTTTTTTTATTTGAACTACTGAAGACTTTGAGCCAGTGACGATATACTTAGGGAAATTTTTCAAATGTATTGACATTTCAATGGCTGGTGTAAAAAAGATGGGACATTGGCGTGAATAACAATGCGGTTAGCGAGCAATACAAACAATCGCGAAAGTTCACTCGCTTTCTGATTAACCATGCTCTGTGACGGCGAATACTTGTTATAAGTTGTTGGCGCCTAGCCACGATGAAAGAATAGAGGATGACCTTCAGTATAACGAGTGGAGAATATTGCAAAAGTGGGTGAACAATACAGCATGCTTTAGCGCAATGACCAGGTGTTTCTCCACAACAGAATAAGAACCACCGGATGAACTTGCAAACATCTGAGGCGGGGCGTGCATTTTAGCAAATATCTCATGCATGCAATTTAAAGTAAAGTCTTCTTTTTCGTACCGCTCTGAATACGGCGTGGCCTTTTCACCTCTCTCTAAGTAAAATGGGTCGATTGCGCTGGTTTTGTAACTACAGGAACTCGAAGACGGTTGGTACAATTTTGTACAAATGCATTGAGCTCATATTAGCAAATTATAAGGATAGTTTGCCGACCGATTCAAGCTCTGCGTGCCAAGCGCTTAATTTATTACAAGACGAAACATGAGAATCGGTACAGGTCAAAGCGGCTCAGCTGAACGAGTTTTAAGCTTCCTGCTTCCAGTCTGCATCGCATAGTTTCATTAAACGTAGCACCGGTGATCGATTAGATTATAAATGTCCAGTCTACCTCACTTGACTGCGAGTGAACAGCGAACCAAGTAAACGCGCCGGGTGTTCACGTGAGCTGCTCGACAGTGTTTCGAGGTGCCCTTTCTCGGACACCATGAATGGCTTCAGTGGCGTTGCTGGCTGCAAATCTAGCAACTGGCCACGCCTAAAGCTGCGACATGTTGTAAGGCGTGTGAGGCAACTGGTGAGCGAAGTCGCTTCAGCTTGTCGGTGCAATGAACGTCAAGGTCTCTCTAATCAATCAACACCAGGACCCACAGAACTGCACGCTCGACGACACAGTCACGTCGCTCGACTTTACTCTTATCAGTCATTGTTTCCAAATGTGTTTGTTTGTTGGCATACTTCTTAGCATTTGCATAGTTTCAGTGTACTACAGAATAAAATGGGAACAGCTGGTGGTGTTTCGGCACATAGTGTAACATATCTGTACTACTACTCAATCCACTTCATCTAAACTTGCTGACGGCGTGTTGCTGTACAGTTAACGAGGAGGCCATGGAAAGGGTAGCGCAGCTCAACCCGTCGAGTGTGCCTCCGTCGGCAGCGATGGCTGCAAGTTCGACGAGTTAACGAGGAAAGGCGATGATGAGAACAGGGATAACATATAATTCCCCATAGCTGCCTTGCCGGCGTCGTGCATGCCAGGACGAGAAACATCAGGAAAGAATATTGCGCTCCTTTTTTGCAATTTGGGAGCCCGCGGTGAGTGGCCCTTTAAAGCGAACGAATGCGAAACGCTGTGAGTTTTTGTTATGTGTGCGGTTGCACCGCAAGATACCAGGCGGGCATCTGTTAATTCGCGTTCTAGAAAACCAGAATAGACGTGAGACGTTAATTTTCTTTTTTTGTTGTCATGCCGCGCACGCCGTGTTGCTTGTGGTTATTCTATCGACTGTGTATACTGGTTAAGCGAGTCGTCTTGGCTCATGGTGGCCACATATATTCGGCAATATGAAATTTCTTTGCGCATTTATTTAGCAAAGTGACTTTCCGCATGTCTTTCAAAAGGAATAACTCAAGGAATAAACAGTTGCGAGTGGGCGCCTGTCCTGTCTACGTGTTTTCTTGTTTTGTGTGGCCATCATTTTGGCGCGAAATAGACTGTTTATTTCTGCATACCTTCACTTTTATCACTGTACATTTCCCTTCTTCAACTTTTGCGGCCATTTCTTTCTGAATTTTCGACATTGATATATGTTCAATCACAATGACATTACTTTTTTTCCGGCAGCGGATAAGCACCACCACGGATCGAATGGTATTTGTCGCTCAGACTGCCAATTGAATCTAATGACATTAACATCTCCAGTCTTATTAGTCTGCTTGCACTCTTTACATTGCCATATTTTCGTAAGAAAGTTTCCGTATGTCCCGTTTAACTTTAAAGTTTCCGTATACTCTGTAAAAGCTTTCCATATTTCCACATCTTTCCATATTTTCCGTAAGTAACTTTCCGTATATACGAGATGATTTCCGTATCCGTCCAGATCTTTCATATAGAACTTTCCGTATATCCTACATCATTTCCGTATCTTTCCATATTTTCCTTAAAAATGTCTTCCGTATAGGCCACACAACTTCCGTATTCTTCTATAAAATCCATACTTTTTTCCGTGTAATTTACACGGAATATGTACCGAGTCCCTATTTTTTCCGTAAGATGTCATGTGGAACGTTTCAGTAGAGTAGCTTATGGCGCGAATGATTTGGTGATACGGTAGCTCAAATGCTAACACAACATTAGGAAGCCACTTCGGGGTCTTTTTAGGAGTAATGAGTAATGACTTAGTGGACTAACGCCGACACCTATTCGTGATGCGTGTCCGAACGTGCGATATTCGTGGCTTGTAATAAGGCTTGCGGCATTGTGGCTTGTAAATCGCTTACTCAAGAAATGCAATCATGGTGATGGGTGGTACCATCCTGAAAAGCGTGTCGCGTTATGACAATTAAAAGCGTAGATGCGAGCATTAACTATGCATTCTTCTTTTTTTCTTTGTTTTACAGATTGGTGGGTCAATGAATGTGATGGAAATTGCGGATCTATGAGCACATGCGGCCCATTTTTAACTTGTTACCATTGTTCAGAACAAAACGACAATGAAATTGCATTAAAAAAAACAGGCCGAGAGTTTCACGAGAAAAGAATCACGTTCGTTATCCTACTATTAAAAAATGGAAAAGTGGAGAAATGTGAGACGGGGGAGTAAAAACAGCTCAAATCAGTGAGGAATAATTTGGGAACGAAATTAGTGGAGCAAGTGAACAGGGCATGGCACCGGGGTCAACGGTGTTCTCACAGGCCAGTCGTATTCAAAAAGCAAAAAACCACACTGCTGCATTCTTTTGCACTAGTCGACGAACGACGAGAATGGTGATCGAATAGCAGCTACATGGGCAACGGTTTTCTAAAAAATGTCATCAAAAAGACAGAAGAACAATTTTACTTATGAAAAGGTGACATTGAGAGAACATTCTGTACCGTACAGCTGTACTACTAACACTAACGTAGTTTGCAAGTCGTATTTCGCTCACTGGCAATAAAAGTGTCAGATGTGCAAAATAAAAGATGTTATTGCAATTGCATGCAATCTCAGGTGTGTCTATTTGTGGTCACGCGTGGGTGCGCATGTATACGCAAACATTGGACACCTTCTACGCATTGCATTCATTGCCAGTGAGCTTTTCAGAAGACTTGTCTTGGCAAAAAAAAATGAACTTGTATTGTACCACTATATTTGGCACAACGCTAACCCGTCGCATAATGTTCAACGAGCACAGTTATTACCAGCTCACTATACTTGCTTCGTGAATAAAGAAAAAGGCATGTTCACAGCTATCATAACCAGTGTTCACTCGTACCCTAGTGGATAAGTATACCATAACGACTGTAAATCGTTCCAAATTCTTCTTTTTTCTTTGTTTGCAGTTTACCACAAGTCACAGTCCTGGATGTTCGACTACTGTGTTCCGGAGGGGCGTGCTTTCAGCATGACCGCAGCTGCCAAGTTCTGCGACGATCATGCCATGACTCTCTTGAATGGAAAAACCCTGCACGAGCTCTTCTTCGTCTACACGCGTATTGACAAGCAGCCCAGCAGTGTTACTGATAACTTCCTCGTATGGGACGCAAGAGGATCGCTCGGCGGGCAAGCACTTTCTTCTGTCTTGTACAATGGCAGGGATCGTATATCGTAAGTGTCCACTAAATGAACTGTTCGCGTGAGCCTGCGCTGATTGTATAGAGATAAAGCCGGCCCGGGGTTCGCTGCTGGTGGAGGGCTGCTCACTCTGAAGATCTAGCCAGTCTGGGCATGGTAATGCACACTTCACTATGGCTTACTCATGATCACACAATTTAGCAAGTCCTGCCGTAAAAATGTGTGAGTGTTGTCGTGCATATAACGCAACATGCTACAGAGAAAGATAATATATTAAAAACAGAGAAATCGAGGGTAGAGAACTTTGTAGGTTGCTACCATAAATTAGGAGGAAGGGCAATGACGAAAATTGTAGGTAGAGGAGAGCAAATACAAAATAAAATAAATGCAGTTCAGTGTTTGCAAGCTGTGTGAACACGGAAGCTGCAAGCAGGCCCCGAAAGTATATTATTTTAAGTTTCTCGTTGTCTTCCCCTTTCCTTCATCTTTCTTGTGTTTCTTTTTGTTTTTCCACATCTGCTTCTTCATTTTTCACCTTTCTCTCTTCCTTCATATTTTCCACTGGCAACCCAGTGGTGAGCGACCATGCGTTAAGCTGTACGTTAAACATAATTAAAATAACCTCAGCCAAGTATAGTTTAATCATGCAATTTTTGATACTACAGGATGCGATGGGACCTAATTATCAGAACCCAAACACAACGCCCCACAAATGTCCTGCAGGCCATCGACTAATTTAAAATTGTGACCCTTCAGACTATGAAAGGATTGAATATTACCTGTAATTTAGTGCTTCAAGAGGGGAAAATACCATTTCCTCGTTTTATCACGATTGGCAGTTGAAACGTTTTAGGCAGCAGTACTACTTAAATAAATGACATGTGGCTGTATGACTTGCATCATTCGCTTCGAAATGGCTCCCTGCTGAAATTCTTCGCTGGCATGCTATGCAGTGAAGGCGAGGCAAAGATAAGCGTCCCACAACATTGTGGTCGTTATGTTTGAAAATTTGTTTGCTTACTGAAAACAAAAATTACTCCTTTCATAGTTTCAGCATCTTATATCTGCATTTTAAGCCAACAAAACATACTACAGGATGATGTATAAGCTACATTATTACTTGGAGCACTACATTAAGAAAATGAAGCCGCAACTTGCATCAAAATGGCATTTTTCTGCATTTCATCAAGACATTTTGGACATGCACCTGCTGCATTGATTCTCGCTTTATATTTATCACTTATTTCATGAAATTATTAAGACCATAATGTAATTATCTTGCTCGCCAAGAAATTTAGTGGTTTTTTTTAGGCAGAAGTAAACATGCAGCAGTTCTTTACTATTTTTAGTCAAGACCAAGAATAATAACACTTACAAACGAAAACACACTTTTACAGACATGGAAGATCGGTGCCTTCATAATCAGAAAAATAAAGGTTTCGTATAATTTGCTTGAACCAGCTTTTTTCATGAATAATTTACCATGACACAGTTTTATTTCCGTGCGCAACGTTCGAAGCACCCTCGATGCTACGCAATTTTTTTCCTTAAATATAACGCCTCAACGTTTCAATAAGTACTTATCACATTCGTATACTAGGACAATGTTTTTTTCGGTATGATCGGAGTGGTCGAAAATACACCGGGTGTACTCAACAAAGAGTGATGTGACACGGGCCATATATTACAACGGAAGCAGTTATGAGATCACAACTTGGGTCTCGCACAGGCGCCGTAGTTGTTTGCCGCCACCACCTGTGTCCGTACCTACATCGCGCGAAATTAGAAAAGAAAACCTAGCACCAATGACACAGCGGGGCTCGAACCCTGGGTCCGCCGGGTGCCAGTCCAGTATTATACCACTGAAGCACGCTGGTGCTTAGGGCTTGTTGGCAAACTTGTCCTTAGCCAAGCTTGATGTCGGGAAACAATCATGTTAATACGACTTATAAAGTGCTTTAAAACAGCGAAAAGAACTAGCAGTCATCGCACAATGCAAATAGCGTAACGAGTGGGTCGTCTAATGCTCCAACCCATTACAAAAGCTTGGTTTTGTTCAGCTATTAACTGCAGTGCATACCCACTTCAGGCACGTTATAGAACATCAGGTGGTTGAAATTATGGAGCCCTCAACTACGGCGTCTCTGATAATCATACGGTGGTTTCGGGAAGTTAAACCCGAAAAATTATTATGAACGAAGAAAGTGTAATGATTACTCATATATGCCGCAAATGTAAACTATGTAGGAAAAACAAGTGTTAATATTTTTACCTAAGGCGTATGTTTGAGTTTGAGTCTTTATTCCAAACATGCATGCAAAGTGCATGTAACGTAATGTTTAGCGCATTTAGAATTTTTAGATGACGAAATGCAGTAACGCCATCTACCAACAGAGACGCCGATTTAGTTCAAAATCGAATCCGGCGCAACTGAGCTCGAATATCTGACGCTACGGAGTTTTGTAAACTACGTATTTTTCGCATACACAAACCAAACGCTTGCTCGTGGTGTTCAGAAATAGGATTTGTCTTGTTTTTCTTTTTATTCAAGTGTGGGCAAAGGGGGGGGGGGGGAAGATTTTTATTATGAGTTATTTAAAATTCTTGACGTCTTTCAAGCTATATGTGTATTTCGTTTATTAAAAGCTTTCTTTGCGTTCGTTTTAGGTACAACCAACCGTTTCATAAATGTCAGGCCCTCGGCATTAGAGGATCATCATTTGTTCCAGTTCTGCGATCATGTACCGAAAAATTGGGATACATCTGTAAGTTGACGGTGCTTTTCGGAAATTCAAATTTTACGACTGCATGCTGTCAACGGTGCTGCTTGCAGAATGTCCTCTGAGCAAATATAAAGAGTTTCAATGCTGCATTTGTGCTGAGGCAGCAAGAGATAACCACTGCCACTCAAATTCAGCAAATGATATTTATAAAGCGTTTTCAGTGAACACAAGTGCTTGCAAGCGCTACTCCAGTTATTGCAAGTGCTCTCTGTTTAGGTATGCAGCTTTTGAAATTCTCTTGATATTGTTGAGAAGGAGCAAAGCTTAGCGACGATAACATAAGCTAAAGTAGTGCCTTACTGTTGTCAATGTGCATCTATTCTTCGAATTTCTTTCCTTTGTTTTGCCTGTTTAGGACGTCTTACAAACCCTTATTCAGGCCGCTGCTGATTAGTTACCACGGTGTAAACTATTCTTACACCGTGCGAGCTACACAAGTTAAATTGAGGAAGTGTATCAGCGAAGAGCAACTGATGGTTATTATGTCTTTAAAAAAATTGATTGACATTTATGGCTACCGACATGACTGGCCAGCGCAGCTGCTCAAATTCGCGGCAAGCAGTATCTCAGCATAATTGTAGCGTCTTGGAAGCATTGATTTTTGTGACATGCTTCCTGGTCACGAAATCCCTGGGCTTTCTCAGCTTGGCAAATGCACTCAGTAAGCTCTCTGAGCTGGAATTATTGAATAAATGCGTGGCTTGATATATCATCGCATCGACTCTGCTGGCGTTCCACTTTTTTTGAAAATGTGTTGCGAAAACAAAGGTGCTTGCGTATGCGTATGATGTCAATGCCTTCTTATGTGCATATGCGCATTCACCTTGTTTGGTATTCTATACATATATACCACGCGTACGCGTACTGCCTTCTTTTTGTGGCCCTTGTCTTGTACAGGCTCTTCACGTTTCCTTATGTACAAGGCTGGTCAGAAGTTCTTGGGCTGCTAGCTGATTAATTTATATGGCTGTATGCCGTGGTAACTTTTGAATCCGTCTTTATATGTCCGGTATCTTTCGACAGAATACTCGCCTTTGAGTGCTGAAGTATGAGACGTGAATATACATCGTTATTGAGCCACACTTGCCGACGGCTCTCAAACGAGCACACAGTGTTCTTCTTAAAGTATATCTATGCCTGGAAAAAGGTGAATTCCGTCCCAGTGTTGTCTCATTGTCGTCCCAAAGTAGTACCAGTACCATCCCAGTGTTGCCCCAACTCAGATACTGGCCCACATTGTGGGCTTACGGTAAACAACGGACAGCAATGGGAGAAATCCCAGCCAACAGTTAGCAGTGTGATTTTCTGGGCCACTAGGCACATGATGAGAAGTGAAAGGTTCCAGCATGTTTCAAACACGAGTGCAAGGAGAAGAAAGTAATGCACAGGAAAAGGCTGGACTTGCAATTGAAGTTGATCAAAAACGGTATTATTCCGAACACTGTCATGCGTGTGTAAGGAGCCCACAGCAGAAGCATGTGAAGATACTATATGACGAGCTCCACCCCGCCCCCGTCCCCCTTTTTGCTTTCATATTAACCATACCTTAGCACGCGCGCTACATGGGAATTTATAGAAACTATAATTCCAAAGTACTGATCAATAATTTCAATATTTGGTGGATCTATAATTTACCACGTGGTTGAGATCTGCTTAAGATTTAAAAAAATGGGGTTTGGGTTGGCCCATTACGTCTGTGTGGCAGTGTTCTATAGTGAATCCTGTCTTTCAATAAAATTCATTTGTAATTCCAGCAATTTCACTGACAATGGTGGAATTACATTGCTGAAATTACATTGCTGGAATTACATTGCTGAAACTAACGCACGGCATGCGTCTGTTTCTTCTTGTGCTTGCGTTTGGAACTTGCCGGAATCCTTCACTTTCCTTTCCCCAACGTGCCAGTAATGGCTCCTCCATAATTTTGGTGACTTTTACCTGCTAAAATCGTGGTTCTTGCTTATTAGGTACTCCGGTGTGGCTGAAGACTACGCATTCATTTCGAAAACCTGAATTACTTTAGCATACAGCTACATGTAAGCCCGCAGTTCTCACAATATTTCGTCATTAATATATGACCGCACCGGTGGGAATCGAGCTGAACCTGGGACATTGTGCTTAGATAGAGGAACTAAAGCTTTAATGATAATGTCAGACAAGCTAGCTTGGTTGGTCGCGTGGTTTGCTACTCGACTGGTGTGTGATCACCATAGTATATACAGTGAATCCATTTATACGCAAGTTAACAACACGTAATGTAAACTAAAGCCACTATGGCATACAGAGCGTTGTTAGATACCTAGGATTATTTCAAATATTTGACTTTGATAGTGTATTTCACTGGACGTCTGTGCCACCGAAGAGCCCCATAGTTGGCCACCATACGGTCAGCACAAACCTATCTGACAAACGTAAAGCGATGGAAAGTCTCTAAACGCTACGTTAGAACATGCCATTAGAAAAAACGAATGACTAGAGTGAAATCTTCTAATTTATCCCAATTATTCATAGAGTTACCGCAAAACCAACATTGTAGCATTGACTTCTGCTTCCAGGTAGACAGAAGAAGTTACCGGAAGCGCATGGCTTTAACTGCGGCAAGTACCCCTGCTGAATTCTGAAAGAGCGTGCCTTGCCCAGAAATTCTCAGTGGCGTTGGCGCTCAGCTTAACATTTATTTTTTTTACATCTATTTGCCCTTGCCCCAACAGCAAACGTGAGAAGGTTTCAAAAAAACCGCCCTCCGACCTGCATAAACTACCTCAAAATGACCTATGAAGAAAGCCTCCAAGCCTGCAAGGCCCTGGGAATGAACCTTCTGCCAGATAACTTGGTTGTAGATGCTTACGAAAACCTGCTGGGAAGCTACGAAGGCAATGAAGGCATGGCGTACTGGCTTAATACTCCGTCCGAAAGGTGTGCGTGATTCATCTAAACAATATGGCGCGCATACTAATGCTGTCTGCTATCCTCTATATGTACTTTTACGAGTATTGACTGAACAAAATTTAATTACTAAGTTCGTTTTGCGCAAGTATTTTTCATTGTTTTCCGCGACCCATCTCTCTATTTTCTTTCACTTTCTCCTGCAATTTATTATACAGTTGCTTTCCTATTACAGCATGTAATGCATATTTTGAACACGTTACATTTCGGTGTCGTACGAGCTTGCTCCTCGACTTTTTTAGTTAACCTATTGTGTCTTTTCACTTTCACTTCTCGTTCTCATCACTTACAGAAAGTCATGCACAGCACTCGTGCGCAATGAAACCACGGTCATACTTTACGGAGTAGACTGTTCTACAAAGTTTCGTTCACTGTGTGTTTGTGAGTACCTCCTGCCAATCATCACTTGAAAAAAAAAAGAGACGTCTTTCATTTCAATGAACTGAAAATTTACATGAGTGATCAGTTAGTTCATAGTTACTTGTGGAGTGACGAAGTGCACTTTTTTTTATTATCCATTACGTGTACTAGAAAACAGGACAAAATTTAAAAGGCACTGCCAGATCACTTCCTGATAAAAACTTTCATGCAGATCTTTTCTTTTAACGCGAGTCATTTGGATGGGGTCCTGTAAAGTTTATCTACGTGTCATGTCGCCTCGTGCCGCTCTAGGTGTTTGGTTCCCCTTAACAGTTTTATTTTTTTTTCTGTTATTCTTGCACCTCAAATAAGTGCAACTTACACATTTTAGACAGCGGCAAGTTAATCTTGCAGTAACTGTTTTTCACTCGTAGAGTGTTTTACGTTACAGATTACTAATAATATGCTCTTCGCTTTCAGTCAACACCCCGACTACCACAGCGATCAGTGCTCCCGCAGCAATGCTACCAAATACTGATAGAACGACTCCAAGATCTACCACAGGCACCACAATTTTCTCTCCAAGCGAATGCCCAACAATGGATGGCTGGCAATTGACAAAGGTCGGAGGCAAGGCTACTAAACGATGTCCGAAAAATTATATTGGAGGTAACCTTTTTATCTCGCATACCTAACATATTGGGGTACCTGCCGGTTTCTGAGGGCTCTAAGGAAGCCGCTGATTGAGATAGTCCGTATATCACATTTAGTGAGAGTTCAAACATTGAGCAAACATTGGCAGACAAGGCGGCAGGCAAGTGCGAGCGCTAAGGGACACGCGCTTTGCATTGCCTGAAAGAGACGACAACGATGTGGCGATGACGATTTAAATATAAGCCTTTTACTCAAAGATCCTGCCGCCCGGTTCATGGCCAATCCCCCTTTGTGGGTATGCGCCAAAATAACAAGGATCATCATCATCATCAGCAGCAGCAGCAGCAGCGGCGGCATGGACAAACACTCATTGACTCCTTCAAACGCAAAAGGGACAGTTTAAAGAGTAGCGGTCAAATGCATTAGAATTTTCTTTGAAAGTATTCTATAAAAGTACAGTTTCTGCACCCCCAGCCAACGTTCACAACAAGAATGAAGATGCACTGCATCATGTTCCTGCAAATCTGCCTATTAAAGGTTCTCATTTAAATGTAATGTTACGGATGATGCAAGCGTATGAGTACAACTTGTGCCCATAATACGCAAACTGTAGGCTCAGGAAACGTAAGCATATGTGCGTTACTTAGCTCCTAACTTTCTCATTTAAATCTGAGTAAATCACTTGTAAACGAAACGAAATTTTGCCACAATTGTCGGTAATGCAGCAGTACGGAAATTCATATATATATATATATATATATATATATATATATATATATATATATATATATATATATATGTGTGTGTGTGTGTGTGTGTGTGTGTGTGTGTGTGTGTGTGTGTGTGTGTGTGTGTGTGTGTGTGTGTGTGTGTGTGTGTGTGTGTGTGTGTGTGTGTGTGTGTGTGTGTGTGTGTGTGTGTGTGCGTGCGCGCGCGCGCGCGAAGTGTGAAAAGAACCAGCGACCTTCGGATGGTCGCAGTTTTGTTGCTCACCAGTGGCAAGTTTTCTTTTCACATTAGGTTCTTCACATTTTTATCACAAATATTGCATTGTATTTGAAGGAGTAACATTCGCGTTCCGTATACATTGTTAGGCTTCATTATCTGCTAGTATTCATTAATACGGACTTAGTGTATATCAAAGCTTCATTGTTTGAAATCTTGAACGTCAAGTGCTTTCGTAAGCACCCGTGTTCTTCTGAAATCACACTCGCTAATTTTCGGTGATGGTGTGCATTGTTATATGCATTATTATTGTGTTTCCAGAGATATTTAGGACGTGCGAAAACAATGGCCACTGGTCGAAGAATGAGGACTCATCCCACTGCAAGACACCAGATCTCTGGCACGTGGAAAATAATGTGAAAGTACGTAACAGATACTGACCACTGCGTGTAGAAAGCTATAACACTTTTCGCAAAGGTCGGGTGGCATTTTAGAACTTCTGAGCTGTGAAATATATGGGGTAAAGTCGTCGTTGGAACCTCGGAAAGGGTCAGTTTTTTAAAATTTCAGCTGAAACCATTCCCAGTTTACAGCACCGCAACATTTTTAACACGGCAGTGGATGACTTAAATGTCGTTAAATATCTCTCGTACGAAGCCTCACGAATTAAGCAAATCTTGCGATAGCAACGCACTGGAACATTATACGCACTAAGAATGAAAAGTTACACGATATAGGAGTCGAATAGTAAGCATAAACTTGCTGAGTATAAGCAGGTGTGCTTCCGCGTCATCAGACCTCTATGTACTTGACAGTTGTCCCAAGCTGCGTGTATAATGGTGTGTGTAAGTGGCTCCAATGGGCAGCTAGTTTATGCCGTAAAGCTTATAGATAAGCTTCGCGTTGCCATTCTGTGACGCAGCACATCATGGATTCTCTTCTGTACTGGTGAAACACCGGCCCATCAGAGCGGAAGCATCAGAGCGAGCGAACAGACGTTTGAGCTGGCGCTCGTTTGAATGCGAACCAAGCGACGAGAACATATCACACACGAAGCTATCAGTCTTTGTCGCAACTGCACTTCGTATTTTTCGCTTCGCAAATCATATTCGAGATAGGGCCCGCGATCTCGCCCTAAACTGGACACAGCCGCACCTCAATTGAAGCTACAAGGATGTCATAGCCAACACTGTCACTTATTTTGATGTTGTTCTAAAAGTCAGGTAAGGCAGACAATATACTGTATTCACTGAAATTTCTCGCGCTATAATCGTTCCTAATGCCTATTGTACTGCCGACTGACGCGCTGCGACAAATGACAAGAAGCAATTGGAATTTACGAGTGAAAGACCTTGGGAGTTCACCATTTGTTTGGGTTCGGGTAGTCTATGTAGAAATCGTAGTCTAAAGGACTAGTGCAGGTGGGTATGGGTTGCTCCACATAGATTGTTAGACATGGGGTGTCAGTGTACGAATGTTTGTAGCTAAGTCAGTCGTTGAACGTGGAATGAATTCCTGCATGCTTTTTACAAGGGCATTCTTCACATTTGTCTTTGTCAACTTGCCTCTCTACATCGATGCCATGGGGGCCTGGAAGACAATGAGATGTTACGTCACGGCCTTTCTCTGTCACGCGACTGTGCAAGTTTCTCATTTTCCGTGCTAGTTGGTCTTGTAGCTCACTATGTAAAGCCAATAACAAGCATCGTAGGTTTTACGTGGTATCTGCAAGAATACTCCTTGTGGACGTTTTGTTGTGCAGTGTTTGAGAGTGAGAGAAAAAAGTTAGGGAAAAGGCAGAGAAGTTAACCAGAAAATAAATCATGGTTGGCTACCCTGCACTGGACAAGCGGTAAAGGGGTAGAATGGTAAAGAGGGAGAAAAAAAAAAGAAATGGACAAAAATATGCGTGTATACTAAAAGACAAAAGCGCGCACACACTCAAGCACGGGAGTTACAGAGTTGTTTTTTCGAGTCCGGTTGACCACAGAGACTTCAGCAGGGCTTTCGTCGCTCTCTGATTGGAAGCTAGAACGCTCCGGCTCTCCAAACCTGGGAAAGCGGCTGATCGTTTAGCAGTGCCAACGTTGCTGAAAGTTGTTGGAGCTGTTATCAGTAAAATCACAAAGGTGGGGTGCAATGGTATCCTCGCACCACAGTAATCACAAGCAGCACTATCACAGTTCCTGCAAACCTGCCAGCAGCTGTCGACCCTTAAATCTCATGCTAAATATGCTCGTTATCCCACACGAGATATGACGTGATACTTCAATCACTGAGATAGCCAGCCACCTGCCTGATCAGTTGTGTTATTTCTCTTATTGCAACAGAACAGCACGAACATACAAGAAGTAATCTACGCGCTCGGAAACTTCACTCGTCACGTCCACGATGACGGGTACATCAGAAGCGTATATTCGGCTCTTTCAAGTGTCATGAAAAAACTTGAAATGCTCCTCAACAACACACCGGAAACTGAACGGGCTAGTCAGACCCAACAGCTGGCCACAACAGTTGTCGACCTCGCCAGTGCAACCATGCAAAAGCCGCACATCTGGAGTATCATACCAGAGGTGAGCAAAGCTTTATTAACACTTTCGTGACTGATAACTAGTACTCGTTGTGAGACTTTCTAACAATATGACTGATGAACAAAAATTGGTCCCACACGAAAGCAGTGCCAACTATACCCGCTGAAGTTGTCAGACTCGTAGCTAGGAATTTTTATCGGTGTGGGTGTGGGCGGGGGGCACTGGTCGAGGACCATCAAAAACTTCTATTTTAGGGGTGAAGCTTCTAAAGGCGTTGGTCTGTATATCCCTAGTATGTATGTTCGTGACCGCCTATAGTTCCACTTTTGCCAACTGCCCACTACGTCCTTGCAAACATTCCACTACGCCCCATCACCGATCCACCACTTATCCGATCATAAAGCAAATACTGTTGAGAAGCAGGCAATAGGAAATGCAAGATGGTCGTGTTCTTGTAGCCAAGTGCGCGTTAAAGAATCCTTGATTCTCCCACTGTTTCCATCCCTTGTTTAACGTGACCGACTTTAGTTCCACCTTTGCAAACTGTCCACTTCTTTGTCCATGCAAACATACCACTACGCCCCATCACTGATTCACCACTTCACCGACCGTAAAGCCGTTATAAAGAAGGGGAAACGGAAGCGACGTATAGCTACCAGTTACAAATAATAAAGGAGGAGGAGGAGGAATAAATGAGGAAGGACAGGGAGGTTTACAAATAATAAAACTTCTCGTATAAATATATATGGTGTTTGTCACGTATTTAATGATGTAGTGGGTGATATTCGCGGATGGTTAATGGTTTAGCGATGAAACCCTCCAGCTCTTCGCCCCACTCATCATCATTCACTCCGTGGATATGCTCTGATTTGCTATATTTGTTTTAGGTAAAACACTCTGTTACACCCGTATTTCTGGGCGAGGGGGCATTTTTCGAGCCTCTAGAGCATCCAGCCTGGCTATCGGCCTGGTAGCTGTGTTTTTTCAACTCTTGAGAACCTCACCTGTCTTTCCTTGTTCTATTTTTCTTTTTTTTCAATTTTCTCCTACTCCTTCCTTTCTGTCTCGGCTTTCACGGATTGCCGTCTTTTATATTACGCGTGCAGCGTGGTATCTGAAATTAAACAAAAGAAAGCACAGGTTGAAAGCAGTTCATTTGTGATTGGTCATGAGACCAAAGCTCTCTACAGTTCTGTTCGGATAGAGAAAAAGATGTGTGGTTGTATGAGGACACTGTGGCCGTGCCGTTGTGCCATTTTCTCGCAGTTATTTCTCGCCATTAGCGTCATGGAGAAACGTCATTGAACTGAAATAATGGTACCGTTTCATTCGAAACAAAAAGACTTACAAAGTGAGAAAAAGTTTTTCAGTAATTATGACCCGTTTATCTTCTTTCGGATATAAAATAGATAAAAGCAAAGCCTATGAAGCTCGGAGTAAGACGTCTTATGTCCGCAAAAATATCACAGCATATACTCGGAGTGAATGATGATGAGTGGAGCGAAGCATCCGTCCATCCGTCCGTGTGTCCGTCCATCTGTGCATGCGTCCACGCGTGCGGTCGCGTTCGATAATGCAGACGGCGCGTGGGTAACACCGACAAGACGCGAGCCAGGGGAAGTGATTTTAAATGAAAAGAAGAGAAAAGTGTGCCCCGTAACTGTCTCTCAGGGGGAGGACACCTTAACAATAGCTCACGAGAGGTGGGGGTAAAGAAGGATTAAAAGGATAGGATTAAAAGGTGAAGAGATGGAGAGAGAGGAAGGATAGATCTAGGTGCAGAGACAGCAAACGACGGAAGAGAAATTAGGAAAGATGGACACGGTCGCCGGAGTTCGAGGACGGGGCATCACTCGGCGAGAGCTCTTGTCGGCGTCAGGAGATGGATTAGGGCGAGCCCAGTCGGACAGAGCTGCGCTGTCGCCTGAGATTGGTGTCAGGAGATGGTGTAGGGCAAGCCCAGTCGGCCAGAGCTGCACTGTCGTGGGAGATCGTGGGGGCACAACCGGTCGGCACGAAATCTAGCGAGCGAAAGCCAACGCGAGCCAAAGAAGCCGAGCGCAAGTGTCTTCAACGTGCCCGTCGCTTTGCTCCGTCCATAGCCCACCAACGATCCGCCACGTACAGTGACTATCCAGGAGACTGAGAGAGGCGCTCGTTGCGCACTATGCAGACGGCGTGCGGGTAACACCGACGAGACGAGAGCCTAGAAATCCGAGCGCAAGCGTCCTCAACGTTCCCGCCGCTCTGTTCCGTCCATGGCCCACCAATGATCTGCCATGTACAGTGACTATCCAGGAGACTGAGAGAGGCACTCGTTAACAAAGTGCACGCAGAAGCCAATTGGAAAGTAGCGACACTTTGGAGAGCAGCGGCAGAGTAACGCTAACTAGGATACGAGACGAGAAATGATCATCCATTTCTTCTGCCTTCTTTTCTTCCTTGTCTATTCTTCTCTCGGTTACGCGTGACAAGTCACAAGGTTAGACTGTAAGGAGGAAATACCTACCACACAATGCTTCTCAGCCTGCGCTCACCAAAGGAGATGGTCCGCGCAGGCACTGCGCTGAGTCTGTCCACCGCGCGAGCCGAATAAGAGCGACGAAAGGCCCGCGCTTCTACTGGGCGTACCAGAGCGCCCGTCATCTCGGAGGCCATGGCCAGAGCAACACCATCTGCCAGAGCCATATTTGCACGTTAGTTTTAGCGCTGGAGTTTGGGCGCCTTTGCTTGGTCTCTGAAAGTTCTCGTTCGACTCTGTCTATTCCCAGGAAACACTTGGCATCAGCAAGAAGGCCAAGTTAGGCTCTTGAGATGAACCAGCTTAGCTGTATTTTAGGCCTCACACGTCTAGTGTAAGCACCCCCCCACCCAGCTTTTTAGATGGGAAGCATTTTATGGCGGGGGCTGTTCCGTCACTCCGTCCTTTCCGCGGCGTCCGCCCCTCACTGCGCATGCACGTCCCCCCCTCTCTCCTACGCTGCCCCTCTCTCTCTGTTTAGAATTCTCTACACAACTGAGCGGCGCGCACGATAGGTGGTGCGACACTGTATACTCCGCGGGGGGTGCCACGGTAGTTGCGACGTATAAAATGACGGAGAGCGTGCGCGCTTCATTCCCTTCTGCGCAACGCCGCGATGAGCGCCAGCGTCGACGCCGCCGCCAGTGTCGGCGCTAGCACCAGCCCAAGCTCTCAATAAAGTGCACCATCTCCCGTTGCAGCGAAACATCTACGCGCTGCTTTGCATCCACACAGGGTTCATGTGATCGGAAGATGGTTTAATTTTTTCCAAGCTTCTCCGCCTAAGCACTCCACGCTGCATTGACGCATAAATTTGTTTGTGTTTCCATTTCAGAGTGAGAGACTTGACACGGCAGCTGGTTTGGCGCACAGGGTGGAAAGAATTTTCATCAGAATGATCATGCACCAGTATCCAAACGTAACAGAAGCGAAGTTTGGAAATGAAAACTTAAGTGAGTTATCGCTTCCTTCATTGTTTTTAAAAGTGTATGCGGACGTTTCACATAGTTCACCGGATGCCATGAATTTTGGATGACTTTCCGCTCCTGTCGTAGCAATAACAGCAGTCATGCCATTTCTATTAATGAAACTAAAGTGAACGCTGGTTCAAACATAACGCCATGTGTTTTTTTTTTTTCACAACAATGCTCCTTATGGTTTGTAGCAAGTAGCGCAAGTATCTTTAGGGCATTCGCGAAAGGTCTGTTGCCTCCAGACGTCATAACCAGTAAAATTAGTGGCATTTCATTTTAAAGCTAACAAATATGTGTGTTGCTGTTATTCTCTTAGAACAATTCATAATGGAATAATTGAAAGCGCAAACCAACGGGACACAAGAGAAGGGACAAACAAGCGCAGAAACCCTACTGCAACTCTTAGAACAACCTGATAAAAAGCACAAAAAATAACTATCACCCTGCATGTTGTGATTCGGCATTTGATTGCATATTTGACATGGAGCTATACGTAGCAGTAGACATATAAAAGGTGTCGGCTGATGATCGCGTGTTCCATATAATACCTGTGAAATTGATATGCACATACGCAGGACAACGAGCGCGTAAGTCAAATGACTGTATCGTTAATTCACCTGAGTCTTTACACCCCGTTCAGTCATGACTTACGATGTGCTGTCAAAAACGTGTCGAATTCACGTGGTCAGTACTACATTCAAGTGAGAAAATGGAGGACCGCGTTGTTTTGTATGAGTTTTAATAATTAAAGTTAATTTTCGTGTAACTAATTACACAATTATTCTGTCACCAGTTAGCTTCAGTACTTGCATAAAAAGAATCCACTATAGCGCCCGATATGCATGCACAGTTTGTTTTTGGTTTTATTGGTTTCGAGCGAAGGAACAAGATACATTTCACGTCGCTTCTGGAACGCGTCACGTCGAAGACTCATCGAACATTGGTAGTGTATCCAGCACGGTGACCTTCTGCAGGAATACGCAGCATATAGAAGTTAAATGATCGCTAGTTGTCCGCTCAGGAGGCCTGCACAAATCTGCGCACTAAGTTTCAAGCCATTTGATGAAACATAGGGTGCGTGCAACGTCATAATGAAGGCTAGCTAACGCACCAAAATTTGAAACTTGTCGAGGCCTTCCGTATACTTGCTTCTGCTTGAAGAATCTTGTATGAATGTGAGAGTTTTGAGCATGAAATACTGTACAAAGCGCATAGAAAAGTTACAGGGTGGCATCAAAACAGAAACATCATGGAGCATATCGTGTGTCTTGTACATTCGCCTAACTCTTCTGGGCCGCCGTTTACTGTAGCTTCCCGATCTATCACACCCCTGTCGCTGTGTGCTCAGATTCTAGTGCACGTTAAAGAACCCCGTGTTGACGGCATTTCCAGAGCCCTCCACTACGGCGTCTCCCATAATCATATGGTGATTTTGGGACGTTAAACCCCACATATCAATGAATTCCTGTCGCCGCTTCTCATTACTACGCCGCTTCTCATTTCGAAGGCATAAGACTCAAGTGCCTCATGAAATAAAAGAAGTACTCACAAATTTGGCTCAAAGGTTAAGCAATGAATGCCATAGCAACAAATTGGAAAGTCACGCGCAGAATGGCAAGCATATCGAAACGTGCCCCGTGTTTCACACGCACAAATGACACACGAAACGTACTCAAAGTACTCGCGAATAAGCGTCGCAGTTGTTACTTCGCTGTGTCTGAAAAGGGTGCCCTTTTCACAAACGGACGCTGGGCAACAGTTTCAGTGACCTTTGTGTGCCCCGTAACTACAACACAATTGTTCCAGTGCAAGCCCAGTGCCAGCCAAGACGTATGATCGTCCCCACAGGGAAATAAGAGCGCGCGAGAAATCGTCCACTCTCATCTCCGCGGGCCAAAGTATACGCGTGAGAGATGAGAGCCGCCGCACGCTCAATGCACCATCTTGCTGATAATGCTGAAAACACGATAGTTACCCCCCGAATTGGCCGCCAACAATGATAAACGTAGATATAAATAACTTACCGTTAACCGCTGAGCCACCCTTCGGTGTCTCAGTGGCTAACGCCTCACATTCACGACGCGGAGATCCCACGTTGGATTCCACGTGCCGGAGTCTTTTTTTCTATTTTTTCTCTTTCCGTTTTCATATATATATATATATATATATATATATGCGTGTGTGTGTGTGTGTGTATAGACGTATATACAGTGCGTGACATTGACGCCGCCGTCAGCGGCGAAATCCAGCTGAGAGTGTCCATGTAATTGCTGCCGCAATAAATACTGACCGGCTTTCTGCGGCATCGCCCCCTGCACGAGTGGTTCTAAAGACCCATAGAGTTATAACTCTATGAAAATATCAGCACAGGATTCACCGTATCATCATTACGTCACATATCGGCAGAAATGTGCCGCCATCGTGGTGTCATCACGACGCTTCATGATAACGTCGTCGCAAGGCCTCGTCACTTTATCAAAAATGAGCCGATTACGGAGGCAGTGCCAAACCAGGTTAAATACAGAAAGGTTACAGCACATTTTCTCTCGAAGGCAATATAAAACCATGTTAGACGCGAAAACGTTTCGGTAGGTAGAGGGGCACAGGAAGTTTTCTTAAGTTGCACTACATAGAACTCTGGCGTCAGTGTCTATGGGAGCTGCAACGCACGGTGCTTCAGCGAGCATGGGAACAGTGGGTGGTACACAGAGTTTTCTGATTTTTGTTCTTTCGGCTGCGGTTGGCTTGACGTGGCTTGAGGTTGCTTTTTCATGAAACAAAAATCAGCAAACGTCCAGCACTTACACTCTACCACCTTAACCTCTTAGGCTTACCATTTCGAATTGGCCCACAAAGTTTACAAGCGTTTTTTCTTTCGTTCGAAACAAAACCAACACACAGCCATAAACGAAAACACAAGTGCATCGGGGCTCACAAGCACGAAGACTACGCAAGTTTGTGTACTACACATCATTCCCATGATCGCAGTGCCAGTGTCCCCTCTAGTTAGATTTAGGATCAATACATCGACTGAAAAAAGAAAATGGCTTTCGCCTTCGCATCGTCTTCGGCGAACGCACAGAGACCCTGTGATACCAATTCTATGGCCGCTGAGACTAACCGGTGGAGCGCCCTTCGCGGGTAAATCTCCGAGGCCATTGTAAAGCGAAGGAGCCCCGTCTCTGTAGGCTCCGAACCATGTCGTACGGCAGCCCGGTCAAAATAGATCAGGAACTATGTAGCGCTATGTGTGAATTCTGTCGCAGACGCACTGAGCTGTTTCACATTGGTGCTGTCGCGCAAACTACGCAATCGTCGTGGAGGGGTGGCAGGAGGCATTTGTCGAGGATCAGCAGAGTCTTTTTAATAGAATGCTGTTCGCAGCTCAGTCCAACGGAGTCCTGGAATAGTGACCCGTCCGATCCTCTCTATAGCAATAACTGCGATTGAGTTTGGGACATTCAACCCCAACAGTTATTAACTGTACTACAGCTTGTAATCATTTATTTCAGTTATGCAGGTCAAGCTGGTGACTCAAGAAAGCCTCAAGAACACCACCGTACTAAGTTCTGGCCCTGGTGCGACTGTCGTATTGCCTCCTCACTTCCTGTCGGGAGGACCTTCAAATGCAGTCGTCATATTCTCTGAAAACACCCTCGTGAATGATATATTTAAAACGATGACGCCATCGGCGTAAGTATTGAAACATATTTATGTTTATGAGTACTCACTATTTTTCTGATCGTTGCATTAAACGTCGGCACTCGTGAATGAAACTTCAGTTCAACAAAAGCGGCTTAATTGTACATTTAAGTCCTTCACTTTATCGTGATAGCATTAAAAAGCTTGTTTCACAGAAATTCTGACGTCGGCGTGACCGTTGGTTTCGGCATGGGATCACCTGAAAAGATCTGAATTCAGCAACAAATGGGTGTGTTACAGGTACAGCCATTGCAAAGTGTTCGCACATACTTGATCATCAACTGCAGCAGAACCATCAACAAAGCGAACAGATGCGTAGGTCCGCGTGTTGCCCTGCGTAGTGGGCCCTTCGCTGATTCGCAAAAGAAATAATCTGCATTCAATCATACTTCCAAATAGCCACTGTTATGCGCACAGTCGTTCATTTCCTAACGGCATGATTGAGGCATGCAACGAGAACCGAAGCGGGCTAGCAATTCAGACGGCGATCATGCTGATGCCCGATTATGCTATCGCAATCATTCTGAAAGGCGAAGCTCAAGCGTCCTCCGACGTTCTGTCTTCCTCTTCACACATTTTTCTTTACTTTGCCCGGAGACTTTAATATAAGACTGCAATAAACTGCCTTTACGATGGAGGCGGAAATGTTGTAGGCCCGTGTACTCATATTTGGGTGCACGTTAAAGAACCCCAGGTGGTCAAAATCTCTGGAGCCCTCCACTACGGCGTCTCTCATAATCATATAGTGGTTTTGGGACGTTAAACCCCACAAATCAATCAATGCAATAAACTGCCTGTTCGGGATTCCATGAGGTTTTAAGGCACAAAAGCATGCTGTGTTTTGCGGTGTCGCGGAATCAGGAATAAAAAAAAATAGTCTTGTTTCGAGCAACAGCGGAAGCGATAACAGCCCGCCATCACTTACCTTCTGTGTTACACTAAGATTTCGCTCGCTTCCTCCAATAAAGCATATTGCGTGCTATGGCGTCATGATCACCGAAACCACGCAGAGTGCAAGTTGAAGCCATTTATTTCGGTCCTGTCGAAGTGATAACAGCAGTCTTGCCAATGCCAATAATGTAACTACAGCGAAGTGTGCTTCAAACATAACGCCATGTGTTTTGGATACCCTACTATGCTGCTTGTTATATATACACTATAGATGGATACGCTATGCTTTACCCTTTCCTTCCTGCTCCCCTTTACATCACCCTCATCCAACTTTGTTAAACCAATCGGTACACCCTGCAACAAAAGTACAAATATATGCTAATATATACTTGGCTACGCCTTTTTACGTACTCATTACTGTGATCACTTGAGCTTATAATTTTGCGTGAGATATCATTTTTAAAGAGTACTGAATGTGACACAATTCTTTTTTAATGTCAAGCAATATATTTTCGCCCGAGTTCTCAGGTAGGTGCCCCTTCAAAGACCTGCGCATTAGAGGACGGTGGAGGTTCACCTCTTTGTTCTTAAACGAGCAAAAGCACTAATGCTTGTATTTCAAAATCTTCTTGAGGCCCACTGGTGTTGCTATACAGTAATGATGTACCAGGAACAAGTGACTACTCCTAGGTGTGCTATACGTGTTGAAATAATTCTTTTGGACGGCACGTTTAACAATGTATTTTTCGATGAACCTGTCCTTAATTTGTCTACGCAGGTCATCCAAGTATCCTATCCTAGCAACGTCCTTCGTCACCGCATCAATTGTGTCAAATGATCAACGCACCTCGAAAATAAACGGGAATGTGACGCTCTTTTTCAAGTACAACAACGCGTTGAAAAAGCTAACGCCGAAATGCTCTTTCATAGAAGTCAAGTAAGTTTTGTTCACTTGGCCACTAGGTTATTTCTCTGAAAATCACATTGTTTGCACAGTTCTTTAGTTTCTCAGGCACTCTTTGAACTTCGCATTGAAATCCCAGGCGATATAGCAGTGCACCAAGATCAGATGCGCTTTATAATACTAAACCGATGTCCTTCACTAGTCTAGTGGTTTTGGGACGTTAAACCCCACATATCAATCAATCAATCCTTCACTAGTCTTTATACTTACTGGCCATTACGCTGAACGTTCTCGCACACTCAAGTACGATATTTATTTGCGCTTCAGTAACAAGAACATATTAATCAATGATGACATGATAATGTGTATATGTCTTGTAATACTGACGTGCATATTATCTATTTTCTCTCTTAGTCTAAATCCAGGCAGCACTTTGGTTCAGGGTGCCTTCCCTGTTCAACAATTTCTCATCGCTGTTTACATAAAAGCGTCTTTAATCTTGGATAGGTCGCTTAAACAGTGCACTGTGCAGGGATAAACAGTTCGGCACTTAGCCCGTTTCTCTAAGATAAGCAGAGCGATGGACCATTTATTACACTACTTCGGTCACTTTAGAAAGACATAGTATAGCATAGGGCTGGTGAAAGTTCTGGTAAAAGAGGCGAACCAAAGTCGCCGTTGTGCTATGGTGAGTACGGTGCTAGCTGCTTCACAAAACAGCGTGGGTTCGAAGCCGGTCGTGGCGGACAGATTTTCGATTGAGGCGACAATGCTAGGGACACTGGTGGTTCGATTTACGTGAACGTTAAAGAACTACAGGTGGTCGAAATTACCACATCCCTGCGCTGTGACGCTCCTATTGTGATCATAGTGTTGTTTTCACGCGTGATATGTCTGATTTTATTTAAAGTAATGATTCAGCACCTCCATTAAATGCAACAAGCGTGTTCTTTAGACTTAATATAGTCCTTGCAAAGCGATGATTAAGCAACGCAGTAGAAACAGCGCGAAAGGACAGGAAAAAAAAAGGCACACATACAACTACACGTGGCAATTGAGTTGCCAGTCAGCGCTATATGTGGTTGTATGTGTGCATTTTCTGTTCTGGTCTTTTGCGCTGTTTCCCCTACGATATGATTAACCAACTAGCTGACAAGTTCACCCTTAAAGAAAATAGCTTTAGCTTCGGCCATATCATGAGCAGGCCTTTTTCGGGTATGTCCCTTCATGTGCAAGCTGGCTGGGTGGTTTCAGAAAACCGTAGCAGGCGCTTGCGTGGGAGCCAGGCGGTTGGCACCGTTTCGCATACTCTGATACGCATACTCTGATATAAGTGGGGACATACTTTGCGTCCATTCAAATGGTAACGCTGGAAAAAAGTATAGCCCGAAACCACGACCTTGGAGGTTTCAACGAAAACATGCAAACTTTATCATACGTGTTTCTTTTTTTTTTCGACGACTTACAGTGCGAACGGCAGGAGTGAATGGAGTACTGAAGGTTGCACACTTGTGAGGATAACAGAGAACGAAGTCGAGTGTTCATGTAATCACCTGACTGTATTCGCCGTCATCATGAGTGGAAAAAATATCGTCGACGTGGATGACATCATCAGACTCGAGTGGATCACCAAGATTGGATGCGGCATATCCATCGTCTGCCTGGCCACTTGCATCGTCATATTCTCCGTGTATAGGTGAAATATGCCATGCCACTTCTGTAACTCGTATTTTGCGCGCCTTGATTTTTTTTTCACTATTCGCAAAACTACACCGATTCGCAGGAGGTTGTTGTTGTTGTTGTTGTTGTTGTTGTTGTTGTTGTTGTTGTTGTTGTTGTTGTTGTTGTTGTTGTTGTTGTTGTTGTTGTTGTTGTTGTTGTTGTTGTTGTTGTTGTTGTTGTTGTTGTATTAATTGTAGTGCGTCTGAATAAAATGTCACTACTGGCACCGCACACGCACTATTGATCGCGATCAGGTGTGATCTGAACAGGGTTTATACTTATCAGCGACAAATATTCACAGTGGCGTAGCCAGTGCCACCCACTGGCTGCGCCACTGTTCTGCTAGGGTCAAACTTATCCTGATCATGTCTGTCGCAAACCTTTGTTAATTCACGATGCGCAGAACGTCTTGATCACGATCAGGCATCATCAAAGGCCAAAGTGACAATATAGAAATACCTGATACGCATCTAGGCTAATCAGACTCGACTTTGGCCGCAATTGAAAGGACCCGCGTTAAACTGGTATTATGAATTATTACTGTATCGTTGGCACATAAAGGACGGAAATAAGCGCGAACATCGCAGCTTGCAGTTTTCAACGCGCAGTGAGCTTCACCGCAACTAAAAATATGATAGACGTTTTTTATACCATATAATGAATGACTCAAGTGGCTTTTTATCACCGTCGAGGATACAACACCTTCAGAATAACTGCAAAGGTGCCCGAATTGTAAAGGCGGCATGTTCGCGCTTCATTCCATTCCAACTGTACATAGGGTCTCTATTAATAGAGATACCTGCGACGCGAGTGCAGATCTATTATTTTAGTTCGTAATGTCACCATTGTACTACTGTTGAGGAAACGTCTATGGTTACGCTGCCTCTAGTCAGTTTGCCCCAGTTTATATTACTTTACCTTTCTAGGCGGCATTTCAGCAGCCTCGTTTTATCCACTTTATTATTATTTTTTCGTTCGGCTTCACAGGACACACAGTAATCGCAAACGCCTGAACCGCGGATATGCGTTCTTGCAACATGAATATGGTAGGCTCTCATTAGAGTTTATCACAGCTTTCTAAACCGAATTTGAGTGGAGGTCAACTCTTTAAATTCAGGCTATTGCAACAAGAAAATGTACCCTTCAAAGGTCGAGATAGAGCGTGAAAATTCAGAAGCAGGGCAACGTGCGCAATTTTATTGTCATCTGCAAAATACTCAACTCACTAACTGTTTAAGCAACTGCATGGCAAAGAGTTTGCGTCCAAAATGTGTAGTTTGGGTCACACAAAGCAACTGCTCGTACGATTATATTCTAGCGGGTTGTACTTAAGCATAGAAAGTAGAAGAGGCGTGTTCGTGTCACGTATCGTACAGACAGTGCTTAACCATGGGCCGAGAAAATGCGGCAGCTCCAAGTGCGAGCCGCGTTAATAACGAAGTACTGTCTTCAAATTCGGCTGCTGGTAGCATAAACAGGAACAACGGCAGAGGACTTATCTTTTGAGTATTCCCTATAGTATTGCATGTTGAATACATGTGATATTAGAGTCGACTGTATAATCTTATACCTGAAGTTGTTTGTGTAGGCAACGTCGAGTCTGACGCGATGAGTGCATGCTTTGTCTTGTCTTTCTAATCCTCAACACATCTAATTGCCACCAAATGGGTCTAAAGACAGTGGTGCAGTTCGTGTTGATTGCATGCAGCCCATGACAAGAATTGTTGCAGATTCCAAACCCAGACACTAGAGTTGCCGCATGCTTTCTCGAGAAACCATTGCCTTTGATGCAGCGTCATGTGCTGGTAACTGCAGTGAGCTGGTATAATCGCTGCACTAAAACGTTGCGATGGAAGACATGTTTGGTTATAGTGCGTGCTTTAAAAGAGTGCCTTTTTTTACGTTTCAGACAGTTGAGAGGAATTAGGAACACCATTCATCGAAACCTGTGTCTGTCACTCTTGATCGCTGAGATTATCCTCCTGGCTGGAATGCAGAGAGTTCCAAATGACTGGGTTAGTGTCTGTTTTCGCTTTTTCGGTATTTATTAGAATACGTGGTCTATGAGCTATATTTTATTCATTCTTTTTAGGTGCCGCCGGAGCCACCTGTACCAGTTATTCCGGTAACAAATCTGAATTGCTCTTATGTGTTACAATGATTCATAATTGAATTTCATAGGGCTAAGTGGCTGTGACATTATGTCATTAGTTACAAGGTCACAAGATGATTCAACATACTGATTAGAAGCCTTCTTATTGCTGCAGATCAAATACGATTGTTTACCCAGAATTGCACTAATCAATAAATATTCCAAACAGATTGCCCAGTCATTCAACCAGTTAGGTTTTTGCATTAAAAACAAGCTTTAGTTGCGCTGTAGACCTGCTGGCTCCCCTGATCATTTGAAAGCAAGAGCTATGCCGGAACAATGCATCAGTACCAATATTTGCTATGAGAGCAATGATGCAAGCTATATTATGAAACCCCCGTGCTACCTTGAAAAGCTCGCGAAAATACATTGCTATAGCTTGGCTTAGTTGCCCGCAGGGTGATATTGGCATGAGTACACTTGTCAGAGGTGCGACCAGTGCGCTGTGAAAGTTCACAGTGACAATTGTTTTTCACCCACTATTTAGACGAACAGTGGTGTCGTCACTGTGAGGACTGCAATTTTCTGTTTGTGCTCCCCCCTCTTTCTCTTTCTGTGTGCCTCTTTCAAAAATTTTTCTCTCGCGTTCTATGTAGCCCCCGTCCCATCCCTTTCCCTAGCGTAAAGTAGCGCAGCAATCATTCTGGACTGGCTCACATACTTGCCTTCATTTGCGTGTGCACGAGGGGGGGGGGGGGAAGGGGGCGGCCGTTCCCCTAGTCACCAAGAAGGGGGGGGGCGCAAACTCATCCCATACATTTACATAATAGAGAGGGGGTGCAGTGGTTTGTGCGGGGGGGGGGGGAGCAAAGTCTCCGCCATACATTGACCTAATGAGGAGGGGGTGCTGCACGAACCTTCGCCCCCCTCCCCACTTGAAGTGGAAACCTGTGCGCGCCAATGCTTCCCTTTTGTCACTCCTGTTCTGGCTTATAGTCACATTTTCTCATCTTTTGTAATCACCATTGTGCAACACTTTAACAGCAGTGCGTACATGGGCAACCCGTACAATCATCGTTATCTCATGCGCCTTCGACTAGGTACCCTTATCCTGCACTGTGGTGGCCTTCCTGCTGCACTTCTTCTTCCTGTCCGCCTTCTGTTGGATGGCGCTCGAAGGCTGCCACATCATAGTGCTCCTCTGGAAGGTGTTCAACCAGAAACGCACCTACTACGAGAGGTACTACTTCGCCGGATACGGTGAGCTCCGTTGAAAAAAAAAATGACCACTATATCCACCACGTCAGTCACGCCACAGGAGCTTGCTCGGAAATGCATGGGCTGTTTCTAGGCGAGACCGTTTCTGTAGGAATACTTGTTAACGAGCCGGCGCATGATGTGTACGCCGAAGTAAGTGTGTTTGGGGACATTCTGCGGCCAGCACTGCACAGTGTTGCCCACGCAGATTGACACGTTGACCACCATGCCCCTTTATGCCATACTGAATGCTGCTGTTACTCAAATGTCTAACGCTCATAAATGGCAGACGTGGAGCTATCAGGTGTTCTTCAACGGGGTTCAGAGCTGGCAGGTGAAAGGCTAGGGAGAATACCGGTACCCTTACGTAACACTAATTGTAGTAACTTGTCATGTGCTGCCATGCCTACGAAGCAACGAGAACAGAGTCGTGAAAAGGCGAGCGCGCGGGTCATCCAAAAACCGGCGCCTTGAAGAGTCACTGTATATGCTACCTATAGTTAGCATACACAGTGACTATACAAAGTTCTATAGGCTACCTTTAGGTCGCATATAGAATTTGGTATAGTCAGTTGGTATAGTCACAGAGTTACTGTATATGCTACCTTTAGGTAGCATATGCAGTAACTTTAACGCTTTGCGTGGTGGTGCACCATCTAGTGGCAATTGTTGCAACCACTGGAGAGGATGCCGTTAGCGGTGACAGCGCGAATGTGCCCTGACAACACTCGGGTACACGCTGGCTTCCACCGCTGGGCCAGGCTTGAGCATTAAAAGCTTGCCGAGCAAGCTCCTAAAGAAGCTTGCAAATTGCCAGGGAAGTCTACGCTGTGTTCAGTGAAATCTTCCTGAAGTGGTTTGATTCGAATATAAGCGAACAAAAGCAAATGCTAAGCACACTTTTTAAACAAGTGGCGTTATATGTCATGAGTTGGGTAATTTATTCTCAGCAGTGACATTTCGTTAAAACAATTAGTTAGTGGTTGGAGTTCCTTCCCTTACCGTATACATTCAAAAAGACCCACGTTAGTATGGTCTATTCAAGATAGTTCAACCGTATACGTATATATTGCGGAATGCTATCATTTGGTTCCGACACCACATAAGCTGACTTTGTTTAACACAAACCAACCTCTTATGGCCTAACACGGTCTATGTTAATCCCATTTCACTCGCTTGCATCGCTTTCACGGAGCGCAATGATCGACAGATACAACCGTATCCATCGTGTGCAAACAGTGCATGGTAGTACAGGAATGACTAACTCGTAGATAACGGCTGTTTTTTTTTTAATTTGTGCCTAATTATGCCACATGTTCAAACAGTTAATCAACAAACGAGTGATGGTTAAAGCACCATCATGTCTGAGTGGTAGAATACTGGGGCTGGCACGCAGCGGACCCGGGTTTGAGAGTGTTGGTTAGCGTAAAAAAAATATTCCTTCACGCGCAAATGTTACGCCAGCTGAGATTCTTGTAGACGCAGAGCTGTTTTGAAGATGAGGTATTTGTTCCCGAATATGAAGCATTACACGGGATTGCAACTTGCAGTGCTACTCGGTAGGTTTTTACACGCTGTTTTAGTGCAATAATTAAAATCCAACGAATTATAAAAAATGTATACATCTACAGCGTAATTCAGAAAATATCAATACTGAATAATAACTGATGTATATACAAGAGCATACACCTATGACATTGCGCAATTGTGAAAGTTAGTCTTTCCTTTTTACTCGTCTTTTTTCTCCGCCAGAACAAAGTTATTTTGTCTTCCTCCAGCCTTTCTTTAAGCTGAAAACATGATCGAGTGTTTTTTATTCTAACTTTTCTTTCACTATCAGGAATTCCTCTAATAATTGCAAGTATAACCCTCGGATGTCGATACGACTTGTATGCTAACAGGAAGGCCGATGACAGATTGTAAGTTTTCCTGGCACAACCCCAGTTTCTCTTTTCTTCGGTGGATGTCGACGTCATAGCTTTGCTCGTTTCACTCACTTACAGCTGCTGGATTCCTGAAGAGAAAGGCGTCCGGTACAGCTTCATCGGCCCCGTTGCGGCAGTTATACTGGTAAGCATGTGAACGTTCTACTGATTTCCCCGCCAACTGGTACTGCTATGTGCCATAATCCCTAGCCTGTAACATTAATTTATCAATCAATCAATCAATCAATCAATCAATCAATGGAACCCTTATTTCGCATAGAGAAATATGGGGAAGGGGGAGAAAAGAATCCGCACATTGCATCTTGACAAGCCTCCGGCCCCCTACAAAGTGCATCGGCACATGACCATAGTACGAAACACCATCTCGAGGGAAATAAGAAAGAATATATAAACTTGGGCACTTCAAGAATTAAGAAAAACTCGCAGAAAGTTAGTGGGGAGAATGAAGTGCTTATATACAGTGAAAAACAAAGCCTCCAATAAAACACTTCGCGAATAAAAGAATTTACGGTAATAACAAAGAGACAATAAAGCCATGAAAATGCATATGCAAAGACCAAAATATATAGACTGCACAAAGAAAAGTAGTTGAACAACAGGACGTACTAGCACTTTCACATGACGACGACAGCGCAAGGTTAAAGTAATAAAATCTAAACAAAAAAACACAGACAAACACAGCCGGCCATTTAAAGGGACAGAAAGGGCAACTATTAAGTCGACGTTTATTTATGAAATAGCCGTCCAGAGATCTGGTAGTGCTACTTTTGTGCCAAAGAAGGACCTATTCTGAAATAAAGTCAGCTTTTAGTGGTCCGCATCAGGTCAGTGCACTTAAAGTTACCTGCCTCACGAAGCGGACCGGCCGGACCGACTCACGTCACTGTTGCCGGCACAACGTTGTCCGGCTTTACTGCGCTAGTAGCAGCATAACGAAAGCAGTGGGAGTCAGAGCAGCAACAACGGCCATTGATCGATTTTGCGCCATTGGCTTCGAGATTGCGGTCACTTTTGTTTTAACTGCGCCCCGCTAGATAACACCACGTGTTTTATGTAACCACGCGAAAATTGAATTTTTCGAACCACTCGCGCCATTCTCCATAGTAACGTCCAGCGGGTTTTTTTTTTTTTTCATGAATCAAACAGAAACGAACAAGCAACAATTTATTGCGTCTCTTGATGCACGGAAAGTTCCTTATTTAGTGCAGTTAGATCGATTACTAGTGATTGATTGAAGACGGTTCGTCTGATGTCATCGGGATCATTTTGAGAATGTCCTACTGCGGCGCAAGTGTTTTTGTGCATTTACCTCCATTTCTCGGTAATTAGGGCACTGTTGATAATATTTTCGTTTTAGATGTTGTCCGACATTCAGCTTTCACTGTAACGTAAATTGTTGTTTAACTTCAGTGTCCCTTTAAAGGATATCAGTGTATCTCCACCATTATTATTGCACCTTATCTTTGTATATTGCGCCCCAGTCCTCTTTTTACCCTGATTGAAAGAAGACTGCCTGCTACGTTGCAATGTAGCTTGACTGCAGATTCCTGTCGATTCCGGTCATTTTGATACTGGCATCCTCCTCTCGATAACACATCTCCCAATTTTCATATCTTGAACTAGTCATCAATGAACTGTGAACTCGATTCGTGCTTGCCCTCTGCAGCTCAACGTGGGTGCACTTTGTCTCGTGCTATGGAAGATGTCTCATGTGCGTCTTGTGGTGGAAAAGTCGACGGCTGAAAAAGTCAAGTAAGTATCACGCTTTTTACTTTGCTTGTTCGCATTTCATAAGGCACAGAGTTGCTTCATGGTGTCTTTTCTCTGCCCTAAAGGAATTGGGTGAGAGGAACTTTCATCCTGTTGCCCATACTAGGGGTCACGTGGCTTTTTGGCTTCCTCATGCTCGGAGATAAGGACTTGCACAGGGTTGGAGCTTATTTATTTACCATCTTCAATTGCCTTCAGGTGAGTACTTTTGCTCTATATCTCGCCTTTTTTCTTGTCTACAGCGTTACAAAATTTTAAACATTCACGGCGATATATGGGCACTCGAAGCTTTTAGGTTCCTATTATATATTTGATTTTAAGTTTTTACTTTATACACCCTCGTTAGCAAACGCGTTGTGTCTGCCGTTTACCGTGCGTTTAAATATTTATTGCGAGCTACGTATCCTTGTATTCATGCTTTTGGCGTTATATTATGAATGCCCAATGAAGAAGTATTAGCCCCCGGTCAACTTTGATGATTTGTTTAAAACTACATAGAACTGCAGAAATTCCCTTATAAGGCTGCCCCTTGAAATATTTTAACAAGGTTTCGTGCGATCAAGATACGAAATTATACCCTTGTGGCAACTAGAAGCAATGATTTTTTTTTCAGTATATGCTGTTTACGAAACCTTCGCGCTCTTATTCAGCACTGCATACTTTTTTTCTGTAGTTAATAAGAAGGCTGAAAATCACAGCACTGAAAACGATACATAAAATATCACCTACGCACAGTTTATGCCAAGCAATTCTTTAACTTATGATCAGTTAATGCTAGAAATATTGTGTAAAGAAGACATTATTTTGAAACAAAATTGACAAAAATTACATGGTTAGGCAAACTGAGCATCATATTTCTAGGCGTATGTTGGTACCGAAAATAAATGCCTCAGTTCTGAAAATGGCAGCCGTTGAACTGTGAGCAAAACGCATTCGTGTGGTTCAGACATGCTCACATTCCTGAAGCGTGTGTATGTGTAGTAGACGAGTGAACTAGACACCCCACCGCTGTGGTCTAGTGGCTAAGGTACTCGGCTGTTAACCCGCAAGTCGCGGGATTGGATCCCGGCATCGGCGGCTCCTTTTTGGATGGAGGCGCAAATGCTGTAGGCCTGTGTGCTCAGATTTGGGTGCACGTTTAAGAATACCAGGTGGTCTAAATTTGCGGAGTCCTCCCCTACGGCGTCTCTCATAATCGTATATAGTGATTTTGGGACGTTAAACCTCACTTATCAAATCATGAATCAGTGGCCCAGGCAATTGCCTTCAGAGCATGGGAGCCTTGGGTAAAAGTAGAGCTCCGCTCTTCTAAATCTGTTGATGTGCGGTAATTTTTGAATTTTTCAAACTAGAAGTGGTGTAAATGCGCGCATGGAACTTGTCCTTTCAATGAATAACGGTAGCGGATCTTATTTCTTGTTTGTCTGATCAATTCGGATTGTCGAGAATTCCACCGGCGAATGTTTATCGATTTTTTCGGGAAAAACCGAAAACATGGAGCCCTATTAAAAAGCAATCCTCGTTTATTGAAACACAGTACAGGCAATAAAAAATATCTTACCTATGTCTTACATAACAAGCTGTATCACGAGTACTAGCTTAAATAGTCGGCGCCCAACACAAAGCATTTCATCTTCTCACGGGGGGAACTCTAGTAAATGCGTCGCAGAGGGGGAAGGGGAGTATCGCGTGAATGTTGGGTCATTAGGTATGGTTTGGGAATGCTTAATTGGTGATTCTTCGTTATTTTTCTGATCTATTCAATGAAAAAAGAAGCGTTGCTTGACTGAATTTCTAACTCCGGATCCAGTGCCTACATGTACGTGGTGGCCAGGGAACTGTTGTGCAGCGCGACCAGTCGAATTTTAAGGGCTTGCTCGTTTTGCTTGTTGTTTGTCTCTCGTCGTTGCACCGGCGTGTACGCTAGGGCTCATTTCTCTCGCTAGATGCGCAGCTGTGTTCTTCAAGGAGACGCGCGTTCGTAATGCTGGTGGTGGAAGTAGTGTGAACGCCATGGTCGACGCCGCTCTAGGCGTCGCGCGTTGTAGCATCTTGAGTGCAGACAATGGCGTGTCTGCCGACAGCCCAATGTGTGTTCTACACAGACGACAAGTCGCGCATTGTGCAAATAATTGGTACAGCCCACCATCAAATGGCGACAAGACGACGGATACGTAGGGGCACTGGCTGTCTAAGACAGCTGGTGCTATCATGCTCGTGGGCTGACACGAGGGCGTGTAGCGTGGCTCTTCAGAAAGAATCATAGAATATCCACGGAGTGAATAATGATGAATTGGGCAAAGCGTCGGAGGATTTTATTCGTAAACCGCGAATCAATCATCCGTCTGTATGTCTGTATGTTTGTCCATCCGCCCGTCTGTCTGTATATCTGTCCATTTGGTCGTCTGTCTGTCTGTCTGTCTGTCTGTCTGTCTGTCTGTCTGTCTGTCTGTCTGTTTCTGCGCCCATCTGTCAGTCTGTGCATCCATCCGTCTGTCTGTCTGTCTGTCTGTCTGTCTGTCTGTCCGTCTGTCTGTCTGTCTGTCTGTCTGTCTGTCTGTCTGTCTGTCTGTCTGTCTGTCTGTCTGCCTGCCCGCCCGTCTGTCTGTCCGTCTGTTTGTCTGATCTACCTCTTTGGAACCAACCGACGCACGGACGGACGCTTCACCTCACTCATTATTAACTCTGTGAATATGCGGTGAAAACCGTTAACGCCATCTAGTTATATTATTCCCAAGGACATATACACACAACGCCATCTATAAAGCGACTCAAACTAGAGGGGGCTACATACTACTACTACTACTACTACTACTACTACTACTACTACTACTACTACTGCTGCTACTACTACAGAGGAGGGAATGACCCACAGTGTAAGGAGCTTCGCTCCTAACAGATTGTGTATATAAGGGGTATATACAATCACAGGACCGCCAGGTGGCGCCGTTTTGTTTGGCTGGCCGCATACAGTGCTCCACTTTCACGTGTTCTTGGCCCGTTACCGGGCCCCGCCCGTGTCTGGACAAGCTCACTATTCCTTCTGGAAGACTTCCGGGACACGCCGACAACATCCGGGCCCCGGTCCGACCCCAGGCTGGCCCCCCAGGCCCCTTCAAAAGTACGAAGCGGCGTGGCGCCGCGCTAACCCTAACGCGCCGCGCCTGCACCTCCACGATGCAGAGTCCCGCCCAGCACTCGACACCAACGACAACTTACGCCCTGTCGGTAAGCCAAGCCTCCTCCGGTCGTACGCCTGATACAGCCGTGCCTCCGCTGTCACCATCTGGCAATGTCACCAGCCCCGCGCTGACAACAATACAGCAACAGGCAGCGTTCCTCAACAGCGCGCACGGTCCAGCAACGTGCAACGCTGGTGGCGTCTCTGCTACTCTCAGCTTGATAGCCACACAAACGCCGCAGCCCGAGAGCCGTAATGCAGCGTTGGCATTGCAATCAACCACGCCTGCTGCTCTCCCCACCTTATCTGCGTCTGGCCTACCCATTGGAAATTCCGAGTCTGTCGACAAGCGCGTTTCGACGAGCGTCGTTCCTTCCATCGCCGAAGTTTTGCCTTCCATCACTTCAGCTGACGACTTATCGACCGAAATGGACTTCGCGGCATCGCAAGTCAACGAAGACAATACGCCATCCCCTGAAGGCAGCTGGAACATCGTTAGTGCCAATCGAAAACCTGCCTCGACCGCCCGCCCCCGCTCCGAGCTCATCACCGTCGGAATCCAACTTCCACCCGGAACACTCACGCCGAAACTGCCTCTCTATGACCTGCTTTCTACCATCACAGCCGCCGCAAATCTCTCTCCCAAGACCAGTGCGGAGGTCACCCTTCAAGCCAAACCTGCTCAGAGCCTTGTGTTTCTGAAAACACACTCACCTCTCACTGCCCACCTCCTACTCTCCCTCACAAGTCTGGAACTTAATGGTAAGCCGATCACCATTAAGCCCTATGCCCTCAGTCCTCCAATATCATGTCTCGGCGTCATACACAACGTCGGTGGTCACTTCACAACATCTCAGCTCTTGCTTGACCTCGAATCCTTTACTTCAGATATACTCGCTGCACGTATGATGGGCTCCACTGAATCCGTCCTCATAACATTTGCTGGAACCATCATCCCTCGCTTTGTGTACTTCAAACGCGTCTCTTTCCGATGCCGTCCACATAAACCCAAGCCCCCTACTTGCACTCGGTGCCTTGCTATAGGGCACCGTGCTCATCAATGCCCCCAACACAGCGTTCCGGCCAAGTGCCGCCGCTGTGCGTCTCCTCTACCGGCAGATCCCGATGCTCACGTTTGCGCCCAACCCTGGTGCATCCATTGCCAAGTCAACACCCACTCATCTCTCGACTCCACCTGCCCCTACCTTCTAGCTAAGCAACGCGACTGCGCCAAAGCAGCTTTTCTCCGTCGCACAGCCATGCGCCGAGCCACTCAGCCTTCGCCGCCCTCCTCTTCAGCGCATGAGCTCCTATCGCCTCCCGCAACATCCCCCCCGGGCTCATACGCCGCTAAGGTTAAGGGAACACCTCCCATGTGCACTTCTTCATCAAACACACCTTCACCATCTTCAAGTAACGAGAGCCGCTCCTTCGATCGGCGACTGGCTATGTTGGAGCGCAACCAGCGCGAGCAACAACGCGTCTCAGATGAGCTACAACAGAAAATACTTGCACTGACACAGACACTCGCAACTACCACCTCCTCTCTTACCTCTCAACTCACGGAGCTAAATAAGCAACTCACCACACTCACCGCCCCGACCTCCAGCTCCCATGTAACCAAATTGGCCGACATGGTCGAAACCACCACCACTGCGCATCACACTCGTTTGGTCCAGCTGGAAAATTCAATTGTCCGGATTCTTACGACCCTCGAAACCCAATCTAAGCAACTGGAATCTTTCACCTATATGCTTAACTCCCTGCAGGAGTCACTTCCCCCGGCAAAAAAGAAGGAACGCGCACGCGTAGGCGCTTCCTCTACTCCAAAGACCTAGATGGCGCGTGAAAAGGACCTCGATATTTTGCAGTGGAACTGCCGCAACTTTCGTCATAATAGGACCCCTCTCCACCAATATCTTCTCACCCGCCAAACATTACCCCATTTTCTCCTTATACAGGAGACTCGGGCGGCCCTTGCCGTCCCAGGCTACCGTGCATATCACGCTACGACGGG